TTGTGGTGTTGTAGTTGGGGATTTGGAGGAATGCGTGATTGGGACGATAGAAGACGTCGAAGGGAGCGACTTGGAACGACTGTGTGACGACTCCAATGCGATTATTGGGATCGACGCTTCCTTCTAGGACGTCGATTTCTGGGGCTCCGCGACCGGTTCCGGGGGTGGGATGATCTTGGCCTTTGCATGTGCAGGAATTGAGTTTTTGACCTGGAAGCTCGGAGAGTCCATCGGGAGAACTTTGGTTAGGGGTAATGCCGTAATCGCAGGAGTTGTAGGTGTAAGGCCATACGCCTTCAGTGGTAGCTTTGTAGCCCGGACGACCCAAATTACCCATAGACCAGACACCGGGCCAGAGACCAGGAACTGCGGAGGGGCCTGGAAGAGAGATGGATACCTCAAGGATACCACCTTTGAAACAAAGTTGGTTCCAAGAGTTGAGCATACCGGATTGATATCCGAGGTTGTGGTTTGCAAAAGCATCCATGCGTAATTGGAGAGTACCACCTCCGGTTGTGACGGCCACGGGATCTATAGGAGTATCAGTATATGGGCAGTGAATACTATTTTTCAAAGACGAAGTCCAGAACGTCATGGGTCATTCCCGAAACATGGAAACCAAATCTGACTTGCTCATCATACATGCCAAGAATCCCACAACCTTAATTCCACCTTCACTTTCTCGGCTCTTCTCTCACCTCCTCTCTGTCCCTTAATTCTCGCCATTTCTCAAAATCCATTATTCAAACCATCTTCTCCCTCAATCACAATCCTCATCTTCATCCAAAACAAGAAGAAAATCTCAAAAACTCACCATACCACTCCATGTCCTGCGTAGCCCCATACCAAATATTCGGCGCCGTCCAAAATGGATCATCCCCAGGATAAAAAGTTCGATTATTGTTATTAAATTCATCCGAGAAAACTAGATTGAGAGTTTCTCCATTAAATGTAGATTTTCTAGTTCTCGAAGCTTGTGGTGTGTCAGGATCGATTAGGGTTGTGCGAACATTGCGCAGGAGGGGATAAGTTCTCTGTTGCGGGAGTTAGAATGAGAGAATAGGGAGGAGAAAGAGTACAGATTGAGAGAGAAGAAAAAAGGCAAGTGAAAAAAAGATCAAACTAACATTGTTAACATGCGCCCACGCCGGTCCATAATCCACATAATTCCCACCGCCTCCTCCCCCCGCCCCCCAAACCCTCGTCGTGAAAGTCAACACCGGCAACAAGATAAAAACACAAAGTAATCCAATAACCATAAAAATGCCCCCAATAGCATTTATCAAACTTTTCTTTTCCATCCACTCATGAAACGTAGGTTTGAAATCCCGATCATCATTTTCATTCGGGATGTGAAGATTATCATCATCTTCAATTTCATCATCATATAGTATAAATCCCTTTTCACCTCCGAAATAGGGATGGAACGCTGCTACGCGGTCGTCGGGATAATTCCATTTTTCAGGATTATCAATGAGAGCGGCGCTGGAATCGCGAAAGGGATTTCGGAATATAGAAGAAGATAAGGAGTCGGATGATGTAGATGCTTCAGATATGAAAAGTGGGCGAGGTGCACTTAGCTCCGAACCGTATGAAGATGGTGTACGGGAATTGGGGTAGCGGGAGTAATCATGGCCTAGATCTTTTAATCCTTTTGGTGTACCCGATCGTGATGAATCTCCAATCTGTAAACCAATTCCTGCCAATTCTGATTTTCGTCTTAGAAGTTGTTGCGGAGAACTAAGACCCTTTCCTCTCTTATTTGTATTTCCATTATTTGGTGTATTTCCACTCGAATCTGTGGATGTGGGAAGAGGTAAATCACCAGAAGAAGAAGAACCTGCAGGTGAAATTGTACCACCCACTAAACCACTCTTTGTTTCATCACTACTATTAACCGTCGTTGATGAAGCCGAAGGATTAAGAGGAGATGGTACAACTGGCAAATATGATTTGTGATTCATACTTAAATTAGATACACGACGTTCCATTGGCGGAGTATTCGAAAGTCTTCGCGAATCCGGTCTGACAATATCTGTAGTAGAACTAGGTGAATTCGATGGGCCCGCATTGATATCGATTGCTAACGACACATTTGAACGTCCAGCTTGAATCATTTCCATAAGAGGTTGTTGAGAAATGCGCATCTCAACCTTTGCAGGAGGAGAAACTTTTCGTAATGGCGACATTGTGCGTGGAGTATCTCTCACTTGATTTGTTGAAGCAGATACCAAATCTCCAAATATCTCTCTCTCCTCGAGTTAAATTCAGTCAAATCAAGCTAAACACAATACACCTCATAACATCCATATAAGATTCAAATTTCCAGCAGAGATTTCCTCAAGAAATTGTTCATACATCAAATAGTGAATAACCAGCCATATCACTCATGCAACCCAACCCTCACATTCAAAATCGCATTGCGAATTCGGCGATAGACACAACCACGCAACCTAAAGCAATCTGCCAAGAGCGTGACGTTTTGGGTTCGAATATATCTATAAATACCTATAAGTAGATAGATGATGTCCGAAAACGACAAAGGAGTTTCCGAGAATTCTAGGTATTGCTGTCCGGAATTGGTTATGATGTTCTCGAATATTTTTATCGCATGGAGCTTTGGAATGTGGAGTAGGTGACTGATAAGAGCTGTTGGTGGAGAAGTTCCCCAGAATTGAAGATTAAGCTTAAGGTTATCGGGACTTCGACAAAAGAAGGAAAGAGAGAAAGAAAGAATCCGGTATTTATTTATAGTAATCGAAACGATTGAGACTATATCAATGAGATCTATCTATCGTATGGATTACTGATGATAAAGCAACAGAAATATGTATGCGAAAGCGACAGTGATGATCGAGATGAAGTGAAAACGACAGTAGACTATGGAAGTCAAGGAAGAGGAGGAGTAGGAGGAGGAAGATGAAGAAGGGGAAGAAATAAAAAGAAAGCAAGATAACGAAACGAAACGAAACGAAACGAATGAAAAGCATCTCATAGTAAAATCCCTAGCTAGTCCTCATCTCGTACTTAGTCCTCGTACCTACACTCACCAGTGCAAGTAACTGCAAGTGCCAAAGGATAAATTCCAACTCTATGCACACATACATACATACATACATACATACATACATACATACATACATACATACATACATACATACATACATACATACATACATACAATACCTAGTACATCTATACCTAGTACCTCTAGCTATCTATCTATCCGTCACCACCCACCAATTAAACATCACCATCACCATCACCATCACCATCACCATCACCATCACGCACTCCCATCTCGGTTACTCCCCTCCCCTAGACAGAACAGAGTCGCAATATCGATTATGCATGTATAGAGAAAGCTGTATCTTTTGTACCGGTATACTTTCGCGAGTCTGAGGGTGGGTGTCGTATTTAGATACTTTTATATCTATCTGTTTATCTATCTATCTAATCGCAAGATGATAATATGATATCCTCATCCCGATATGACATCAATATATATGAATTAGATATTCAATCACCCATTTGATCAGCCATCCATCTGTTTATCCATTCATCATATATATATATACATACACACATAACATTCCCTTACCAAAAACATCACCCACTTATCATTCACACACACCACTCTCCATCCAAAGCTAAAAAATCTCCACGCCTGAGCAACCTACGAGTACCTACCTAAATCTCGTAACCACACCCCAACGCCACTAACGAACGTTATTTAACTGCCCAGACAAACAAGCACATTAACAAGAAAAGCCTATCTTGATCTTAATTCTTAACCAATTATTTATGTATATATCGGTACGATACAATACATATCGGTACAATACGATATAATACAATGTATAATAGATAGGAGATAGGAGATAGGACATACATAGTACATACACTACAGTAAATCCCGCTATCGATTTCGATTTCGATTTCGATTTCGATACACATGATATATATAGGTAGGTACACATACACATACACATACATACACATACATACACATGCATTTCATTCATATTTTCATACTTTCCGCACTTTTCACTGCCCACACAATAAACAGTAGGCAATCTTCTTAAAAAAAAAGCTAGGTATATGTGTACCTAGGTAGATATCATTATGAATATAATCAATGAAAACAACATACATAAACATACATACAGTGCTCATCACAATCACCATCACATAGCGAATATAAACTTCAACATGAGCATTATACTTTTTGATTGCTCTCTCTCTAGCTCGCTCACACAGACAGATGCATAGACACAGACATATCGTACATCTATTCTCCGCACACCTGAGAATGCTTAATCCATTCAGATGCATATTGCATATCCTCATGCTCTCGCTAACCACTTCACTTCACGAATATCATCTATGCGTCCATCCCTCCAATCCAGATTTCCAGATTTTCATACTTCATGATCCGTAATCCCTCCCTCGCTCCGCTCGTTTGCCTATCGAAACTTCATACAGTATACACGTAGTACATACATCTAATGACATCCTCTTCTCTTCTTCATTCCGAAGCTGCTGTGTCCATCAATCAATCAATCATCAATTGTATTCCCACGAGCCCCACTCTCTTCAAGTTCATCACTTCTCGTGTCTTGAATTCCAGACCTCTCATCCATTCATTCCATTTTCTTTCATCCAATTCCATTTACGAGTAATATCGATATAGAACCAGTAAAATCAATCCCCTATTCACGAGCAATTTATTCATTAACTTTTTTCTTTCTTCCTTTCCCGCCAATACTCTCAAGACTAAAAGCCAATTCATAATCATTATGCCCAATCATTGAATTTCAAGTTCCGTGAATTCGGCGACAAACCGTTAACCTCTCTTCGGAAGATGCAAATCCGCTCAGTTAAGTCTGACAAACAACGTGGTTGGTTTCCTCGTGTAACATCCCTACATATATGGGTCTTGTAGACAGCCAACTATTTAATAATATTCAGCTAGCTCTTCTCGTGTCAAGTATAGTAGCTCAAGGACCATATCGAGAATCTTTGTGCGACAATGAGTTTTGTTGACGAACGACTTCTTGTTCATCATCTTCATTATCCCATCCCAGAACCGACTTTAACGAATTCAATTCTTTTTGTAGTTGTTGGAGTCCTCCTGCCACTCCGCTCAGAACAGTAAATAGTTGTTTTTGCGTACTCTTCGGTGTATCATCGATGAGAGATCGTTCTCTTATCATAGAAACATCGGCTGGGGTAGGATATGGAACAATTTGATTATTGGGAAAATTGTGGATCGGCAACGGCTGGGTGAATTGGTTATTTTGAAGCGGTGGACCTCCCTGTTGCATGACTTGTTTGATCGCAGGAGTTTCGTAGAATCGTGGTCGATGCAATACAATTGGAGTTGCTCGTGACTGTTGCCCATTTGCGCCTGGCTCCCCTTCATCCATATTTCCTTGATCGAGTTCTTCGCGGGCAATTTGAGCTTGTAACATGGAATCCAATTCTGCTTCTTGAGCTTCCTTCAATCCGGGGGTCCTTAATGGTGGTCGTGGTATGGACGGAAGAGGTGGGTATGGACTGACATAATGACCTGGTGAATTGAATTTACTGAATATGCTATTCTCCTCTTCGAACGTTGGTTTTTCAAATTCGGATCGCTTTCGCTTGGTGGAGGGGTCGATTTTTTCCGTATATCTTAAAGCTCTAGCATCTTGATCCCCTACAATTACGATATCCAAGAGTCAGTAAAAGTATTCTAGCCATACAGGATCATAAAGCAGAGGATGTAGATACCCAGATTTTTTATTCTCAAACTGCATTTATTCCCTTTACTTGTGAAAATACAAGTCGCGCAAGCTCCTTGAAACCATTCTTCCAACACAATACAGTGAGAGAATCGTCCATAGCCCTGTTTACAATGCGAACATGGGTTTGCCATTATTCTTCCTCTGGTGGCTACCATACACGCACCTCTCTGCTGAACGCGTGGACTCTCGGTCGATCTTTCCGGTGGTAATTCCTGGTCTTCGCGCCATGGTAAATCGCGCATTTCGGGTAGAACCTTGATGCGATCGAGAAAAGTCGGCTCGTTTCTATGATTGCCAAATGAGTAATACTTGTCGTTTGCATCGTCTGTAGAGATATCTCCATGGCTTGACTCTCGTCCATTGACTCTTTCTTCGTCCCGACTTTCTGGCGATTGTCCGTTCTGCGTGTAGTTTTGTCCTGGACCTATTTCTGGCGTCTCACTCATTTCTATATCATCTGTCATATCCGTTCTGGACGAAGGCGCCCTATGTCTCCTGGGGCGCATATTTCTTTCTTCTCTTTTTCGTTTTGGTTTTCTTTCTGGTGACGGCGAAGTTGAATTTGCTTCAGAACGATTGCGCGATTCAGGAGTTGGCGCGTTGTCGGCAGTCTGTCGCGTCCAAAGTCCTGGTCCGTTGGCAGAATATCTTGTTTTGGCAGATGCGTTACCTCGGTCGCGAAGTTCCATTTTATATGATGTGGTTTATTAGCTGGTCGGCGGGACTTGACAGCGAGAGATTTTGTTATGTGCAGAGCTAAGTAAGTGATTGGTCTAGCTTGAGGTGGTTAGGCCTAAGCGATAACCTTAAATTTTGCTCTTATCGGTGTGCCTAGCCTCCGGAACCGTACATCTCGTAGACTGACTCGGCAAAGGGTTACTAGACAAAATTGTGAATTAGATGTAAAGCATCATCGTGAAATCGATTTCTCAATTTCTTTCCCAACAGTACAGGATCCCATAAAAAGTGAATAGAGAAAATACTTTAATTTGATTCTATTTGTTGAAGCTACCTAGGTACTTACTTGAAGATGATATAATATTTTGACCTCAGGGCACAACTTGAGCGCTCGCATGTTTTCGCTTATGAAGAGATTCTTCACCAAATTAGCTGATCTCCTACGATGTGCATTTAGAGTTCATTTTGAAGCCTTTTCATATCACTGTAGATATCATATTATGATTACTGTATCATTTGACTCACGTGTAACATCGTGAGATTTTAAGCAAGTATGACTTCTAGATTCACGCATTTTTATTGCTATTAGGTTTAATATAGGCTAGTTTACAAGATTTATATACGCTCATGCCGTAATGCTTGTGAATTTCAGAATATCATCGAAGCAACGTATCAATTATCGTCATCCTCCACACCAAGTGTTTTCTTCAACGTATTAAGCTCTCTCTGGATATTATCAATACCTCCTTGAAGACCACTGATAATTCCCATTAGCTGCAATTGCTTTCTCTTTGGCAAAGTTTCTATGAGTGGAGCCGCGGCAAAACTTAGTCCATTCGGGGTAGTAACAAAAGTTGGTTGATATTCTCGTTGACGTTTGTTGCCCGCTTTCTGGGGTGGGGGTTGCGATATAGTTGATCCATTACTCATGATGACTTGTTGCTGACCTGCAAAGACGCTGGGACTGTGATTAGGTTGAACTTGAAATTGCGGATGGGGTAGTTGAGGTTGAGGTTGGTGCTGGGGTAGGAGTTGGGGTTGATGTTGGGGTTGATGTTGGACTGGAGGTGGAGGTGGAGGTGGAGGTGGAAATGGAGATTGGTATTGCGCCTGTTGCTGTTGCTGGACTTGGGCCTGAATTTGCTGTTGTTGTACTTGGGCTTGATGTTGCTGTAGTCTAGTTTGAGGCGGTTGCTGTTGTTGAGCTTGAGGTTGGGGTTGTGGTGGTTTCGCTTGCTTCGGGTCTGGTTTGTCTTGTTGTTGCTCTAGCTTGGACTGCTCATGTTGTGGTTTTGGAATTTGTGGTCTAGGTAGATTTGGAAATGTAGGTTGGGATCCTGCTTGAGTTTGGTTGACAGAAGCCCAAGTTGTAGATGCCGGTCTACTTGGAGCTGACTGGGGAGTGCTTGCACTTGGAGTATTGCTTGGTTTTCTGGTTGGTTCCTTGACGCTCGATTCCTTCTCAGCAGATTTGCCAACAGACTTGCGTAAACCACCATTTCGAGTGTTGGGTGTGGACGAGTTGCGCGTAGCCATATTTGGAGAATTGACAGGTGCCCATGAGGTTAAAGATGAACGAGGCGGGCGTCCTCCGCGCGTCTTTGTAGACCCCAAACCTGTGTCTACTACAGGAGGTTCTTGCCATCCCGTTTGAATTGGCTTTTCTGGTTCTTCGACACGGGCTTTCTTTGCTGGCGGACCAGAATGATTGCTTTCTTCAGCCTTCTTCTTTGTACTAGATCTATCTGGCGTCTCTTTGACAGCATTCTTTGCTGATGCTCTCCGTGCACTTGAGGATTCAGGTTCTGGAGTTACTCGAATTCCGTCTTCTGCAGTAAATTCATCGGGCTCGACTACATTGGTATGCAATTAGTAATTGATGTTAATTTCTTGCAAAGAAAAACTTACTCTCTTCATTAGTCTTGATGCTGCAACGGTTTGGTCTGCCACTTAATTGACAGCTAGCGCATGCTCCCTTGAAAAATCCTGGCAGCGCGATACATAAGGTGAATTTTCCCCGAGCATTGGCACATGAGAGGCAAGGATCCTCGACTACATTTCCTCGAGTAGCAAGTAAACAGCCAAATCTAATTTGTTTCCTACGGGAATCTCCTCCAGTCTCGATCTCAGAGCCCGCTTCGACTCCTTCCCTCCAAGGTAAAGAACGCTTTGCAGGCATCATTTGTAATCTTTCCTCCATTGTTGATGAGTTTGGATCTCTGAATGAAATTTGATTCAGATACTTCGGAGGTGTGCTGGGGCTGTATCGTTTAGATGCTGAACTGGGCGTCGCGATTGGAGGTTCGTCGGCCAGCTCTGGCTCAGGCGACTCGAGGGTTTGAGGACTAACGGCCGCCATTTTGTTTCTTGGTGCGAAATCAATATCAGATCCTATTGATTCAGGTGAAGATGGTGCTGCCCACTCATCGTCACCATCTTTATCAACAACGATAGTATCGCTGTCTCGGGATCGTCGTGGGGGCATGTTGTTAAGTCGCGTTGATCGAGACGTAATCGGTCGCGATATTTAAAAAATCCCAAGGTGAAATTAGATCGAGCTAATCCTTGTATCGAATATAAATATATGCCGCTTTTATCTCTTATCGGGACTGCACGTCAGGTTGGAGATTTGTTGGAATGGTCCAAAGTGAGATTGGATATAATTGAAGAAATTTTCTCGTAGACAACAATAATGAATATAAAAAGCGTCGGGTAATGTGAATGATTCACAACTGAGTACAGCACAGCATGGGCAGGTTTATCTACTTGGTCGGTAGATATTTTAGTTCGGAATTAGTTCTTTTAGTACTTCCTCTATTAGGTAAAGGTCTAGAAGTCTATCCATCGCCAAAATTGATAACCCAGAAAACTAATTGCCTCGATCGGCGATTAATGGATCTTATGGTACGATTTTCTTCTGAAGGGTAGTGAATAAATAGTCTCTTGTATTTCTATATTGTTGGGCGCGTGATACGCTCGCTATGCTTACAATGCGTCATTTCTCTTATGCTAGCCATAATCTAGACTGTCCTATGCTAATATGTTACGTTCGGTTGTATTACGAAATGTACAACAAGCTGTCTATTTTTTCTTGGCCTCCTCCTCAGCCAAGGCCAGTTGGTCTTTTTCCTCCCTCATTTTCCTTTTGTTTTCCAGGTCAGTTTCTACTTGCCATACTGCTCGATCGAGTTCCATTTGCAATTCTGGTATGTCTAATGCTTTGGCAATCTCCTTTCCATCAGAAGCATGAAGTAGCATGGTCTCAACATCCGATACTTTCGAATTTGATGATAGTGTATCAGCCGCACCTTTCGAGTCGGGAGACGGAATCCTGTTCCTCAAATATAGCTCGTCTAATATCTTGGATGGCTTTGGTGCAATGAGATTTTCCTTCAAAAGGAAGTCGATGTGTTTAGACCCTGCTAGCGCTTTCCAATGACTAAATGCACGAAAGCATAGATAGAAGAAAGGTAGATTTGGGATACTGATTGATATTAGCTGCCACATACTATTGACGAGGGTGTAGCAGCACTTACATCGGCACAAGCGCAAAGGGAGCAACTAAAGGCATTCCAATGATTGAGCCCCATAACCTCGTCTTGTGAAGTTGTCTTCTCTCTGTGCCAAGAATTTGCAAGATTTTCGAAATATTTTCCTGTGGAAGAAAGTTTGAGGGAAATGAGATCTCAATTTTCTCTCTATCGCCCAATTCTTCTGCCCGCCTTCGTTTAGACAAGGGAGGAATCGATTTTAATCCCCATTCCTCATATGGTATTCTTTGCAGGGCCTTGTTCCCGAAATCGACCACTTTCTTCTGCCATCCTGATTCCTTCTTCTCCCAACTATTCCAAAGATTGTTTGCCTTTGTAGTTGTCTTATCTAGTAAGGAAACTTCATTTGTAGTGGCAACATTAAGTCGCTGGCAGTAAATAAGGGTTCGCCGCGTGGAGATGGGAAGTAGGTAGAGGCGCATAGTTCGTTCTTCGTGGACCAGAAAATTCGATGGAAAATTTAGACAATTATACAACTCTGATTCCCGAGATGGGTATCGTGTCGTACCAGATCGTTAGGCGTTATACGTAAAAAGGTCGTTATTCGTGTGCTCGTGAAATGGCGTTTGTTACTTCAATTGCATTGGAGTGTGTATGATAGTTATGATGAGAAGATGGTGCTTGTTATAAGTAGTAGGTGAGTAACGTTTTGCACTTCTTTCTTTCTTTCTCTTTTTGACTGATTAGAACTACCGGTAGATGAACATCAAGCTACAAAAAAACCCAAGCGCCAAAAATCGAAAAGCTTTTTGCCTGGATTCATGGAGGCTGAGCTAAGATAAGATCCATTTTCACTTGTAGGTAGAATGACGCATGAGAATAGGTAACCTTGAATACCTACCTAGTGAATAAATACTTTAGTATGAATACCTACCGGTACATGGAGTCAGATAATTTTCAAGTGGGGGGAGACGAAAAGATTGATCTAGATAGAAATTGTACTAGGTAGGTAAGTGAGGAGTGAGATGATAGGCTCGATAGGTATTCTAATAAGTGTTTGGTGGGTGAGATGGTGGGTGAGATGGTGGGTGAGATGGTGGGAGGGGAGGGAAGAAGTGGGTGAAGATTCACAAATACGACACGATGCAAGTAATATCTACCTAGGTACTACGACGTACTAGGTACTCCATATAGTGCCACGTGAAGATCTACCTAGCTAGGTAGGTAGGAATAAACCTCCTATGTCCTGGAACACTGTAAATACCATGAATATATATGAATATATATGAATATATATATATATATATATATATATATACACATATATATTCACAATACTATCTGCAATTGAAGACACCCAGTCCAAAATCCTTGTAAAGCTTGTAACCTCCCCCATGTTCTCAAATTCCAATTTATACCTTGAACTGTCTTATTCTCACCATTTTGATCTCATATGACCCCCTTGCTCTCCCATCCTCGCAGCGTTTCGTTTATGGTAATAATCCATAAAAATCCATATAATCCCTTAGATGTTTAATGGGCTGGTGTGGTCCTCCGTAGATCATTTAATCTTTTATTCATAGCTACAGAATGGCAACTACATCTCTAATCTTAACTAACCGCGAAACAAACATCCAAACATCCAAAATTTCAATTCTAATTTCCTCTTGTCACTTTCTTCAATTCTTTCTTCTAATTCATTATTCATTCGTACACTCATTTACTCAATTCTTTTCCCCTCAATCAATCAATTTCCTTTCTTATCGTATTCACTTCACATCTAAAAGCTAATTCGTGTTTCAATTCTTATTACGAAAGGCAACAATGCAGGAATAGGAGAGGGGTCGACCGCGATTGAAGCGTCGTTCAGGGTTGCTCCATCGCGTGTTAGGACTGGAAGAAAGAATTGCAAGAAAGTGTCAAGAATTTCATCGTCTCAACTCTGCGACACACGAATCGGGGAATATCCTAGTATTATGGCAACATCAGATAGATTGCCACGGACCACACCAGGCCTGGGACTACCATTCGACGCATACAATAATAATTTTCAACATGATTCCCTTACAGTCCCACATCAATTCTCGGATTCTGCGAGCGTCGGTTCATCGGAGAATGTTGCCATGAAAGGGAAGAAGAGAGCTGGTTCTCAGCATGCCGTTCGACCCAAAACCTACTCGTCCGCCTCTTATAGGACCTACAGTACCCAAAACACACAATCGACGACTAGCACGCATGCACAGAATCGAGCAGCTCAAAGAGAAGTTCGTTCCCTTCCTTGTAAGTTTATTGGCCCACAGTCGAATTCTCGGCCTGAGCTTACCTGTCAAAAGCCTGGATAGATTCATATGAAGACAACGAGCCAGCATCGCAACCCAAAAGAGTTTCCACCCCTTCGAGAATACATCCAGCACAGCATAATTCTACACCAACTCAATCTTCGCGAAGAATATCTCTCGATGGATATGTTGACTCTGATGACGAAACCTACAATGCCATAAGCGACAAGAAAGTAGAGACGGGTTTCTTTGGAGGTTTGCGCGAACCGGTCAGAGGTAGGAAATGGGACCATGCTAGAGACGCGGAGCCCGTCATTCTCAGAGCTGGGATACAGCCAAATGCAGCTGTATGGCGAACCTTTATCAAAGCATCATCGTATGGTGTGCCCGAAGGAGAGGATCGCAAATTAGTCGATCAGTCATTTTTAGATAATTTAACTCCCGGTTACGAAAGACCGTGGTGCGGGGATCTTGAGAAGGGTGAAGGTGACGATGATGATAACATTACATCTCTCATATACAACAAAAGGAAACGGGAAACCTTTTTGAAACGCGTGCAGGTAAGCTCCACACTCTACTTTTTTCCAATGGATGACTGGCTAACGGTATCTAGCAAACCATTCTCATGAACCCCTATGTTCCCCTTATTTTTCGACTGATTGTACTTATAACTTCAATAATCGCCTTGAGTATTGCAGGCTCAGTTCATCATCTCTCGAATAAATACTCCTATTCTCAAAGTCCATCTACAACCATGGCAATTGTAGTAGATGTGATTGCAATTCCGTATACTCTCTACATGACCTGGGATGAATATACGGGTAAACCTTTAGGCCTTCGAGCACCGAAAGCCAAAATTCGACTCGTCCTTTTAGATCTCTTTTTCATTATTCTTGAGGCTTCTAATTTGACATTAGCTTTTGATGCCATATCAGATGACAACGGGAGCTGTAAAGTCGGAAACACGGGATATAATGGTGTGGTATGTCATAGAGCTAAAGCACTCTGTGCCATAATAACCATAGCATTACTCGCATGGGGGATGACTTTTGCAGTTAGCATATTCCGGTACGTTCCTTGGTCTGAGATGTATATCTTTTCATCGTTGCTAATGTTCTATCAGGCTTGTAGAAAGGGTGGGTGGCCGAGAAGAGGCCGAATGAGTACATACTATCTCTGTCTCTCCAGACAATATTTTTTCTTTAGTAAATATGGGCCAAGTGAAGGCAAGGCGTTGGGTATATATCAGTTGGGTTGAAAAATAGAAAAGCAAAATTTGTACATTTGGAATTGTTTACACGTCAGCGGACACTGAGACTTGAAGCTACTCTCATCGTCTCAACACTAATGCGATAATAGGAGTAGATGAGAGCACCCTTTTCATTTGTTATATCATCATTTAGATATAGATCTAAAGCATGCGAGAAGAAACTTTATTTAAACGCCAATCAGGATGTTTTAAGCCACGAACGCCTATCATTATATGTTTCGTCCGCATACGACTAAACTCGTCATACATATACTTGAGTTCTAACGAATGAAGTGTGTTGGACAAATCTGAAAATGTTTCTACAGCTTTAAATGGCTTTATCTATTTGAACCGGGACCTGCTACTTCGCAAGAAGCTTCCCCGCACAAGTTTCGTGTACCTATATGCCAATTTTTGTAGGTCTCGATGAATGACGAGCAGCACAGAGAGACTAATGAGTAACTTTGCCTGACTCCCATGTAAATGGCATTCTGCACAATTCCTCCTTTTCTTGTTCAAGCTGTTAGAATTGCATTCACAGTAACATCGCTATCTTCAATACTAATCCGGTATAATCCTCCAAAAAGCTTTAACAAATACAATCGAAGTTCTGGGAACGATCTAGATCACATTCTCATGCATTAGTTGACCTTACGTAATCTAGCCCGCATGCATACCCCGGCATTTCGCATGCAGCGTGATGGCGATCAAATCTCCAGGAAGCAATCATCCCACTACAGAGACTTGGTTAGTTTATAATTTACATTCTCTTCGTTCTTTTGTGTACTTATTATGTTGATTTCAGTTGACCGCTTCTAATTTTGAAGATATTCGGATCTCAAAGCTGGAGAGAAGTACATCACTCAATTCACCCTTATCGCATATATACCTACCTAGGTAATCAAGGTTAAGCTCGGTGGATTGCCAAGGAACAAAGACATCGGCCGATATCAATTTGAGTTCTTGAATAGATATCCGGGCAAAGAAGCAAGTGAGGAAAATCAAAGTCTGCCCTTTCAAGAAAAATCGATTACAAAATCCGCCGGTCAATAATCACAAGCACAACTACTTGAGAGGTAGGACAGGAGTCAGAAACATGATGATCTCGCTCAATAAATCATGACAATGGCGGGTAACAATTCTGAAGCCAGCTTCAAGAACAATGGTCACACTATTCCCAAAGGTGGTAATAACGGTAGTCGGCTCACTTTGAATAATGAACTGTCAGGGCCGGGTCTACTTAGAATTGGGAGATTCAAATTCCGAGCAAAGACGGATGATCTACCACAGTTCGTTGAGTTCATCTTCATCACTTAATTTTATGCACTAACCCATAGTCCAACAGAGATTGGTGGGTTGCATCAACCGCATTCCCTCTCATCGCTGCCACAATTGGACCCTTGGCAAATGTTTTGTCAATTTCCGCTCTAGTTACAAAATGGAGGGCTGATCTACCTGATGATGGACAATTGCCATTTGGTGCTGATGAAAATGGCGTTGGCATACCTGATCCACAATGGTGGGAGCTCTCTGAAGAAACTCATGAATGTTACTAATTTGAGATATAAGGGAAATCATCCTAAATGCTATTTCTCTTGGATGTGGGTTTGCCGGCAATCTTTTCTTGCTCCTGAACTTTATGCGCAGGGTCAGGTATATCGTTGCATTACCTCTATCGATAATCTTCTGGTACTTGTCTACTGGCATCGTAAGTCTGAGGTCCTTGTACCAATTTCAATTCTAATATGCATTCCATAGCTTATTGGTATCTTGTTAGCTATGAACGAGTACGTCCCACCAATTCGTCCTGGTCAAACTTGGTCTCAGGGATTCTGGTCCGCAGTCATGGCAGCTTCATTATATCTCGTAGGATCAATGGTTCTCATGGTCAATATGCTTGGCTATTTCCTTGGTCATTACCCACAACATTTTGAACTCGATGACGATCAAAGAACTTTGATCTTACAAACCATGATGTTCTTTATATGGTTAGCTGGTGGAGCTGGAGTTTATCAAACAGTCTGTGGATTTCAGTACGCTGATGCTCTCTATTTCTGTGATGTCACAATATTGACGGTCGGTTTCGGGGACTTCGTACCTAATAACAGTCTTGGTCGAGGGCTACTTTTTCCATATGCTGTCATTGGCATCATCTTCCTTGGTCTTATGATCAATAGTTTACGCAAGTTCGCTTCCGGTATGTCACAGGACAAGATTGTCAAGCATCATGCAATGCGTCAACAACAGGAAACCTTTGGCCGTTCAGTCACGAATGAGAAAGAGATTCGGGACCGTCTCGGCTTACCTCCCAAATCTGACATACGTCACCGTAGTGCAGTTGGAGATTCTTCCGGAGCTTCCGGTTCAGGCTTGATGCGTCGTCCTTCGCTAGACCAGTATGGTCATTTTGATATTCAAGGCCAAAACATCACTTTTCATCAAAAGAGAGTCTATTCCTCTGGTGGTCGAGGGGGAGCGGCGGGGCTGACACATAATTCACTCATTCCTCTTAGTCGTGACGCTAAGCTTCATAAACATGCCGAAAACAAATCTCCCCGAATAAAGCATGCTAAGCGTCGAGAGAAACTAATTCTACTCAGAGAAGAAAAGGATCGTTTTGATGCTATGCGTCAGATTCAAACTAATGTACGAAAATTCAAGCAGTACTACGCACTATCAATGTCTATTTTTGCCTTCTCAATTCTTTGGTGCGGAGGTGCCACTGTTTTCTGGAGAGCCGAAAAGCGTGAGCAAGACTTAACATACTTTCAGGCTTTGTACTTTTGCTATGTTTCTCTTTTAACTATTGGTTATGGCGATTTTGCACCAAAATCCAATGCTGGGAAACCCTTCTTTGTCGTTTGGTCTTTGATTGCAATACCTACAATGACGATTCTCATTTCAGATATGAGTTCTACTGTTATAGCAGCCATTAATCGTGGCACATTTACATTAGCTGATTGGACGATTATGCCTAAAGCAGGAGTCTGGCATGATTTTCTCATGAATCATCCAAGAATACATGCATGGTTATCGAAAAAGACAGACGAAAGAGAAGCTAAAAAGCGCATTCGTCGCGGGTTCGATGTGCAAAATCCGGATGATAGACAAATACCTATAATTGACGACGTCGATCCGGATCCGGAATCCTCTCTGGGCCAGGTTGTTGAGGAAATTGAGGAACCTCCAGAACATACCGAACATGATCTAGCCCGAAAATTAGCGACAGCTATCAAACGCGTCGCGAACGATCTACGAGCTGATAAACCAAAGAAATATAGTTATGAGGAATGGGTGGAGTTTACTCGCTTAATCAGATTCAGCACGCATAATGCGAAGGAAGTCGAGGAGGAAGAGGAAGATGAGGGATTGGTCGAATGGGATTGGATTGGTGAGGATAGTCCAATGTTAGCGGATGTTAGCGAGAGTGAATGGGTATTGGATCGGCTATGTGAGAGCTTGAATAGGTATACGAGACGACAGGGAAAAATTACGAGAAGGCAACAGGCAGAGATGGATAGGATAGAGGAGAGCGAGAAAAAACATCTTCATAGGAAGGCGAAGCACAATTTGCATTATCCTGCACATCCCGGACCGAGAACTCCAAGTCCAGAATTGAAAAGGGGGTCGGGGCAGAGCGGAGGCGGAGATAGTTCGAATTGGAAAGGTGGCTCGGTTGATAGTAAGGATGAGGATGCGAATGATGATGGAGATGAAGGGGTAAAACGGCATGTTGTCTTTATTGATGATGCTGGTGATAAAGAAACAAAAAGTCAGATATCACCGAGTAGTAGCGGGGAGGGAAATGGGGGTGGGAGTGGGAGTGAATCTCTCGCGACCCCAACCTCGGATGTTCTTAGAAGTAGCAACAGAGATTGAGACGAAGATAAAGACAAAGATACGATTGAAGTCCTAGGGGGGTTCCATAGAGATTGAGTTTTGAAATGAGAGCATTCAGCGAATGAGTAACGAGTGCAGGGTGTAAAGTAGAGTAAAGTAAAGTAGACATTTCTGGTGCGTGGCTATTGGAGTATGGAGTGGGTGGTTCCTAGGCGCTATAAAGGTATCCTCGGTACTAATGGGCGGATGTCTGTATGTCTTGGCAATAAGGCTGGGATTAGCACATTAGATAGCTTATAGTGTATTTACAGTTTTCACACATCACAATATTCAATATTAAATCACAGAAGAAAGTTATTGGTGGTATATATATTTAGTCCAGTCCGGGGTGGGTCTGTGATACGTTTTGCGCTGCTCTATGGGGACGAGATTATGATGATGAGATGTGCTGATATGTTTCATAGGTGAATGATGGAGTTATTTACGGTTGGATGGTTAGGTAAGTGGGGTTTTCAAGAGCTGGTTGGATGGTTGGGTTTGTTATCATATGTTAGATTCACATATCAAATCATGGTAAGATCATACAACGAAATCTTCTTGGTGCTACTGTATGCATTTGATATTTCACAGTGAGCGTGGAAGAAATTATCTTCTACTTATATTGTATCGAAGTATTTATATTCATGATCAACTAATCTTTCGGTATCGTATGCGGTATCATATGATGGCTCTTTGAATGGAGATGTGAGAATCAAGAGAGAGAAGTAGAAAGAAATAGAAATGGAAAGAAATGGATATCGATTACCCCTTTCCTTCAATCACCCGCTACGCCTGCTCTACGCCTCCGCCTACGCCTATTTTGTGTCTCAAAACCCCGTAGAAAGATGCAACATTAGATCTTCTTGTCACTTACTGTAAGTGTAAGTGTTCAAAAAACAAAATAGAAAACACGATATCCGAAACCGAAATCAAAATCAAAGTCAAAGCTTAAATCAAAACTCCAAGCCCAAAAAAGATAATCAGCATACCCCAAGATGCGCCCATTTTTGCAACGCCGTTCATGCTCTTAGTTGCAGCGCGCGTAAGACCTTGCGCGCTTTTTGCATCTGCGGTTCCGTTTGTGGAAGGGGAAGAAGTTGAAGTGGAAGTAGAGGAAGTGGTGGTTTCGCCAGACATTTTGTCGGTGATGAATTTCGCCGCGGCGGTTCCGTAGGTGGTAACGTAGGAGAGGTGAACTTGGAGGGAGTTGCCGGAGTCGCAGAATCTGGGGGAGGATTTTAGATTGGATCGTGTGGGTTTTTGGGGAGGGGAGTTTCAAGGGGGTGGTGAGAGAGTGGAAAAAATAGTATGAGTAAGGGAGTGACTTACTCATCTTGACTATCACAATAGGAGACTGTTTTCTCCGTAGGACAGGCGGCAATATTTTGACGGGCAAAAAGTCCATTGTTCTTGGCGGTACCGGCGTTGAACGTTTCGGCTGGGACGTGGGATGGATCGCCCATTAGAACCATTGCCACGACTGATTTTTCGATTAGTCAAATTCCCTCTTGAGTTTGCAAAATACCCGCCCGTAAAAAAAATAACAACTTACCATTACTACTAATATTCGCCGACAACGCCTGAGTATTCCCTGCAAATCCCGTTTCAGAGGTCCCACACATAACATCCGCCGCCACCTGCGCACCCTGCGAATACCCCATCACCGCCATCTTACTCCCGGGACACTTTTCCGCATACGCCTGTACCAATTTTTGCATTGCGGCTACGCCCGATGCTTCAGAGGCTTGGTACTGCGTGAGTGTGGCTGGATAATCTACGGCTTCAGAGTCGGAGCCGGGAAGAGAGGCTTTAACCATGGTGGCTACGGAGCCGATGATTCCCTCACCGGGGGCTTCGGTGGAAGCGCGTGCAACGATCATGTGGATTGCGCCGGCGGGAACGCAGGCGGAGGAGGTGCTGGAGGTGCTGGAGTTTGCGCGGGGGTAGTGGGGAGAGGAGATAGTGGAAGCGGAGGCTAGGGTTGTGAGGGCTAGAGAGAGGAGTAGGGATGAGGAGTACATTTTGATTTGATTTGGTTTAACTGGAAATAAATGGTAATGAAAGAATGGTAGACAGCGCAGCTGGAACTGGTATTTGTATTCTGAAATTGAATGGAGCGAAGATTGATTAGCCAACAGAAGAATGAATGTATACAGAATGCTATACCCAGAAACCAACGGGAAAGAGATATTATATAAGATTTTCCAGCCCTATAAGTCGATCGTTATGAAAGACGGCCCATTGTAGTATTTTCGTTACATTTCCGTTTTTGGGATCTCTTCACGAATCCTATTTCAGTACGATATGCCGAGCGATGGAAACCATCCCGTGTAGTGGCTGAACTCAAGCACTTGCAGTGGATCATCCGTATTCTGGGGCATGATCAGACTGAAGAATTTAAGACCAGAGATGCACTTCTACCAAAGTGTTCTCTCGCAATCAAACCCCGATTAGGAAATACCTAGGTATTATTGTCGCAAGAGCCATGGCATATATTTAATTTACAGGGAGATGCTTTCTTCAACAAGAACACGTGATTGACAATGCTGTGAAACAAATGGAGATATGAATGCCGTGCGTTTCAATGCCGGTTGTTGTCTGTGCTAGGAGGTTTAGGATTTCAGATGAAGAGTATGAAGAAAAGGGCTTGGATTTAAATGAGCCAATCGCAACTTCGCTTTCAGCCTGGTGGAAACATTGATTGCCTTCAAATAAGTTATGAAGATTTCCAAGACTGTCTAGAAAAGTCGATAATTCTCCTTGTGTACCCACAAATCCGAGGTTAAATTGACAACAATATGAATGGGAGAAAATGCTTCCAATAGGGATCTGGAATGTCAGTTTCTATGAGTGAAGTCACGTAATGTATTTCAAATTAAGTGGCTCTTGCTCTCATGCTATATATTTGAGATATAGAATGATGGGCACTCCATGTGGCCTTTGCTATCAATAATGCGATTAGCTTTTCAAAATGGTGAAGTGTCTGCTTGCCCAGAATCTAGATCTAGTCAAGATTTGTGGCGAGCGTCGAGAAGTATATGACTGCTTGTCAAAGTCATAAACGATGTACTCTACTCTATTTCAGACGGGAATTCAACAGTGAGACCCATTGAGTCCACTTGGATGTGTTTACAATGGTATTTTGTTACGACGAACAAAGTTGATGAAGTCGACATAAAGCATATTGATTGTGGCCATGCTGCCACTCTTGAGACATCTGCGGAGCAATCTTTGTCTGATAATTACGTCTGAGAATCCACCAGTATGAGCAAAAAGTAAATAAATCATCCACGGCACTTGTTAAACTGTCGTTGTTGATATATAAGAACCCTACATTCGGGACTTCTTGTGAAGCAACCCGAAAAGTATACCTCAACGGCGTTAACAACACTCGTTCCTCCTGCTCAAAATGCTAGAGTGTCGTTTTATCCATCTAATGATGAAATATCGCTACCATAATATTAAAGAACTATCTTCAATATCGATAAGATAATTAGAAACGGTGTAGACATACTCGATATAGACAATTTCTCAGGAGCTTGGAATCGATATTCAATTCATGTTGCTGGCTTTTTCATGATTAGATTGTTGAGCGGGGATTAATTTAAAACCTAGCTTACTCCGAGTGCCGACGTTGAACTCCGTCACGAACGGTGTTGCTATTCCTCTATCAACTTGTGTTTTCTCGACACATCTTTTCAATTTTTCTTATTATCTTTTTGGTCCTACATACAAATGTTAACTAGCTATCATTGTAATGCGATAATTGTTTAAAACTTCTATATACTCAAACACATGTCGATCCGCAGAGAGAACGGACACGGAGTTGTCCCACGGAGACGAAATGGCAAACAGCCCGCGTGTGAGCCATGCAGAAAAGCAAAAATTTCTTGTGATCATAGTCTTCCCGTATGTGATCGATGTAAGCGACGGAAAACATCGGCAAAATGTGTATACCTCTCAGCACCTATGACCCGTCGACCACCTACAGGGGAATCCAATACAAGTAGGGAGCATGAACAAACTGCGGGTATACTATCAACCCCCACTCCAACTCCAACTCCTTCTATTGTATCTACACATGACCATCTGCTTTCTCCCGATAGTAGGCCCACGGAACTAGGAAGAATACAATCCGGGGGTTTCTTTGGTCCAACAAACTTCTCCGCTGTGTTCGAGGAAAATCGGGATAATATCGGCAACGATATACAGATCTCCAATGACTCTGGTGCACTTCCATCTTATGATAGTCTCCAGACTCATAATTTCCTGATGCTACCCGGAAATGCATTTGGAGGATCCCCACGAATCCAGCTCGGAATCAAAATATTGCAAAAACTGCCCGACAAACGAACATGTGACCATTTGCTGAAATGGTTTTTGGAAAGGATGGGCGAGTGCAGCCCTTATACCCCGAGACTAATCTCAGCACAGATAGCACATTCATTGTGGTCTCAATGGGGAAAGGAGTTTAAAGAGCCAAGGCGTCTCGATGATATGGAACGTATATCTACGCATCTATGCAGGAACTCCGAGCATCATCTACAGGAGGCAGAGGATTACCAACCTTGGTTAGACAGTATTACAGGACCTAATATGAGATGGGAGTCCATGGGACTCATATTTGCGGCTCTATGTCAATCTATTTTGTCGCTATCTGAAAGAGATGCTTTTTTCACAACCCAGCCTGGGCAAAGGAAAGACCGAAAACACTTCGCTCTAGAGTTAAAAGATTGCATCCAAGCTTGTGTTACATTGTCTAATTATATGGACTACATCAATACCGTCATGGTAGGACTCTTGACTCAAAATCTTATTATTGCTACTGTAATTATGGGCGACGCGAGTTTGATTGTTTGGAGGCAGATAGGGGATTTGGTTAGCATGTCAACTGCACTGGGTCTTCATCGCCAACCGGATAATGATGGACCCGTCACATTCTTATCCGAGTGTAAAAGACGTTTATTTACAATAATATTCAATGTCGATAAAAGCTCTGCTCACCTTACAGGTCGTCCACCAGCATTGAGTTACCGCTATACACGGTTCCGCTTCCCTCTTGACATCGACGAAGAAGTATTTGCTCAAGGCCCCGAAGCTCTTAGAAATGCTGCAGAGAAATTAGACGCCAATGGCTGGAATCAAGAAGACAGAATGACAAACGCAACGTACATTCGCGCTCACGGCTATCTTACTATAATCACCGATGAAATTCTCGAACTATCCCTTACCGGGAATATCAGCGATACCCGCATTACCGATCTTCTAGCTCGTCTACAAGAAACCTACGATAGTTTCCCCTACTACACCCATTACCGTCCCAACGACGTATACTCCCCTTTGATATCCGATAGTGTATTATGGCGTCTCATCGGTCTGCGTCTCACATACCTCGAACAACGACTCACGCTCGAACGACTCGCTCACAAATCTCTCCTTCTCTCCGGCCAATCCATGGTATCCTGCGCCCTCGAAATGCTCCAACTGACCGTCCTCTTCTGGGTCCAACGCGATCGCTTCGTCGAACACCATCATGATTACGATTGGATGCTTATGTGTTGGGGTGTTCCCTCCAGTGGAGTCTTGTGTGTAGAAATCCTTAAACAGATGAAATCGCCGCATGAATCGACGATCAAACTACCGACGTCGGAAATTGTGCAGAACTTAAGTTTATTGGTGGGGTTTTTTGAGTGGATTAAACCGAGTGCGGGGAACTATCTGCTGTGTAGACGTATGAGTAAATTGGTGAAGAGGATTCTGGATCAGATTTTGAATCATCGAGTTGGTGGTCGTGTGAATTTGCAAGGACAGGGACAGGAGGGGGAGAGGAATGGAATCGGGTTGGTTGAGGATGGTAATGATGGGTTAGGAGGCGAAAACGGAAATGGCAATGTGGATGTGGGCATGATGGGAGTTGATGATCTAGATGGAATGGGCGATGATGTGGGAGCAATTGGGAATTTGGATTGGTTGAATGAGTTGGATTGGAGCAGAGGACCTTGGATGAATCTAGATGGTCTTACTTGATCCAAAATTTAGATTTAATTCAATATCTGAAAGTCAAAGATCATCGTAGAGGTTCACAAATTTCGGTATTTCAAGCGTAGATAACACGTATATACCGAGCATAATTACAATATTCACTCAAGTACTCTGAATACAAGGAAAGGATGCGAGAGGATAGCGTATCAGGTAAGTACAACTTCTCTAACAGCTCTGTATGAGACTTTGAAAATTTTAAGGGGAGTGTTTTGGGGGCTTTTTATTACATGTGATACGCAGCGAAATGAGAGAGCAAGAGCAGAAGAAGACAATAAAGCAATATTAGTTGATTTAAAGAACTCTACTGGAAGATGAGAAGAGAGGTCGACGATGGAATGATAACATGATAGTATCTGGTAAGAAATATTTATTCACATTTGAACTGGATACCGAAGAACTCTTCTGAAGGTTAGGGAATAGAAATGCAAATAAGTTACAAAACATCATACATACTATGTTAATCTGTCTCGTTCGATACATTATGAAATAAGAAAGAATTACAGAAACATGATAAGCAACAAGACGGATAGACAAACAGCATATCCGCAAACTCTCTTAGACATAATCCTCATGCCAATCATCCTCCTCCACTTGCTTTCCCTTCTTCCCCTTGACTTCCTCGGGCACCTCTTCCTCACCGACCCCCAACCTCTCACCTGCCCCCCACTGCTTTGTGAACCTCTTCTCCACCAACTTCATATTCGTGATTCTCCTAGCCTCTCTTTCACTCAATTCCTTCCAATGCCTCGATTCCCTCTGTTCCATATCATCAATTCCCGTTTTCTTCTCCCTACCCTCCTTCACCTTCGTCTCCAAATCTTCCAAATCCATCATCATATCATTCAAGTGTCTCCCCTTGATTAAATGAGCACGATCGTGTTTCTTATAGCTTTGCCCTGGTATTGTACCCGGCGCATTACGGATGCGAGTCAAGGCGAGCGCGCGTTGAGAAATATCCGTGACTTTGTTAAGAACGGATCCAGGATGTGGATACTCTATTACTTCTTCTTCATTTATCTCTTCTTTTGTAGACTTTCGCTGTTCGCTTCGAAGTTTAGTGTCGATAAGTTCATTATGTCTATTTATTTTCTCAATGCGCTCTTCCCGGCTGATTTTGATTGGTTCCTTGGGAGTTGCCGTACGCCATGCGCGTAGAACAAGACGCTTCCAATCCACGGTAGAGATCTGCTCACTCAAGGGACCGGGTTGGAGGATGTGGTCTGAATTAACCCAGAGATCGAGCTCGGTGTCCGAAGGAAAATCACCGGCAATGAAAAGAGAGCTTTTGAGAGCATCAAGAGAACTGTGTCGGAGGACAGCACTGAAACGATAAATTTCTGTGCCGGTGCGATCAGTCCTACCAGGAGGAGGTTTAATTCGTCCGGCTATACCCACTTTAACGTTCTTTTCTTCCTCTCTGAAACGATTGACGCGGGTGATGAGGCCAGAGATAGATCCCCACTGTGGGATCGATTTGTGGCGACACCAAGATCTCAAATCATCTTCTGACCATTGGGATGGTTCTGGAGCCAACTTGTGCAGAGGTGCTAATTGCTGCTCCAAAGTGAGGCCTATTCGAGGTGAGGGTTCTCTCAATTCCTCGCCCTTGATTACTCTTTCGAAGTAACCTTTACACTCAGCTCTGATCTCCTTCCTCTGACTAGGAGTATTTGGAACAGGCATTTTCATTCTCACGGCCAAACTGTCTATATCTTCGTCCACAAAGAAATCTATAAGGCCAAGGATGTACTTTGCTACAAGAACCGATTCCGGGTTTAGACCATTGTCATGAATCTCTCCCCAAAGTTTCTCTAGGAGATGGTACTGTATCTTCCGCATAATTTTATTCCCTATTTCCGTACCGTTATCGAGTTTTGCTTGTTGTGCTGCGGCAGTTTTAGGTAACTGGAGCAATGAAAGGCCATGTTGCAAGCAATAATACCATGCTTGGATTCTTGTCCAATGGCCAACCTCATTTGCCGATGCTTGGCTAACTGCTTTCAAAACTTTTTCTGCAAGTGTAGAATTCTCATCCAACTTGTCTGCTTCGAGAAATGTTCTCAAACGCTTGCTTGGTCCTGAAAGAGAACTGTTCAAGTTTCCGCGCTTTTTGACCCTTGAACCTGATGCGAACATCTCAGAAGCTGCTGCTTTTTCTTCGGCAGCTATTTCAGCCCAAACCTCTTTCCGAGCCTCTTCAACTAGTTTCTTTGGTGGAACGAGTTTTGTCGACCTAGGCTGGAAATCGGTTGTCGGACGATAGCGAACTTCGATTTGCGTTACGATTTCGGAACCATCATCTTGAATGTAACCTATATCCTCATCTAACATTCCATCATCGTGCGTCTCGATGCTATAAGCGATTACTGTTCTATTATTATTCCCTGCAATGACCTTATCTTCCCATGAACAGGGCGTCTGTTCTCTTAACAATCGTTCAAGCTCAGCATCGTAATTTTTATCTATTTCATCATGTATAGTGAACGTGAAGGTCTGCTTTTCTAATTTCATTTGCGCGACGATTTGGTCTTTTACAAGTCCTTGGACAGGCTGGCCTGAAGAGAACCTTGTAATTCTATAGTGGCCTTTCCATCTAGGAAGTTTCGCAATCGGATCCATCCACCAATTTGCCTTCACAGAGATAGCAGCCTCCGCTTTGTCACTGTAATCCAAACTTAAGCTCTTTTTCAATGTCGCAGCGAGTTGATGTAAAGGGACACCGCGTTGATTAGCTTCCCACCAAGTCTGCCGAAATGTGTTTGAGAGATAACTGACAGGAATTGCATAGAGTTTTTCGTATAATGGTCGCTTGTGCTCTTTGTCATTACCAAACAGCTGATTGGTTTTAAATAAAGGTTGCCAATATAACGACCATCCCAGACTACCAAATTTGGCATCTTGATCATAAGATTCGCAGAATTGAGGATGGAAACCATTAAAAATCCAGCTTACGAAAGACCTTCCTAGTTCGCTATCGACGTCTTTCTCGACGTAAGGCTCATCACCAGAAGGTGGATTGAACGACCGATAATCTTGGAGGAAAATTGCATGTCCAATTTCATGGATCATTGTAATTGCTGCCATGAACTGTGCTTTAAGGCGAATCTCGGAACCAGCTGGGTGAGTACGCATTGGTACCAATAGTAAATCCATGATTGCAATAACGAGTGGCCGTCGTACCCGGCCTGCTTGAGCAGCGTGTAAATCCGATTCCCTGATCTCATTCTCGTTGAGTTCGTGAAAGTCTGCTTCTCCGTAGTCAACTATTCTTGTGATACCATTCCAATTCCGAGTCGCATGCATTCTATCATTCAATCTCCACTTGATACATCTTGCGATGGCTTCAAGCTCCAACTCTGCTGCTTGAAGATCCTTGATCAAAACTGTCTGTTTCAATGGAATCACTCGTGGACAGACAAGATGGCTATGTTCAGCGTGCGATACTTCCTGCGGGGAGCCAAAGATGATTCTTGATGGCAAAAAACTTGCTAAATACGGCATTCCGACTTCTAAAAGCCGTGTGGCAAGTCGCATACTTGGCATCAAGAGCTGGTAGTCCTCATCAGAGACTTCCCATCTTTTGCGTGCAAACAATGGATGGACAGGGCCGGTCAAACTTGGAGCTGGTCCTCGAGATGCCACTAGATTCCTCAGGTTAGACACACAAGACTACAACTGAGAATGATACTTACACATAGCTCCTCCAACTGCTAGACTTGTAGGATCCCATGGCTTTGATACTGCACCCTTCACCACGCCTTGGTCTGATTTGACTGGTAACACTCCTGACATAATGTCGACAGCAAAATAAAGATTTCAAGGGTAATTTTTCACTACACTAGAATCTTGATGATATTCGTCAATTCAAGGCAGAGAGTGTTAAACATGAAGCAGTAGTTTTAGCATTCCTCGAATAAGCGCACACAAAACTAAGAATGTAGATGTGATTGAGGATAAAAGAGAACATTTGATTTCATTGTTCTCCGAGAATCACAAAGTTCTTTCATTTTCGATTCCTTTGCAGTATTCTTCAACACTTCAAAGACTCTCTTTGATGATTTTGGGTACAGCAATTGTTTTCGGCCATTTTACAAGTACTCTTCCCACGTGGAAAGAAAACCAACGCACACAGCAATGCTAACAGCGAACGATTCGAATGATAAGACTCATCTAAGTCCAGCGATACTACATGAGGAAGTTTGGTCATTATTCAAGTGATGATCTCCTCAGTCGGAGATGAATGAACATATCTGAAGTATCTTGAATCCTGCCTTCGTAATAGGTTAGTTGATCGTTGATTGTTGATCGTTGATTCCATCTTGAAGAAGATTAGACTGTTTCTGCCGTAGACCTTGGGCACGGATCGGTATGGTCAAGATAGTCGGCACTTGATTGTGTCGATAAAGCTTGAGTTGAAATCGGAAGATCCAGTTGATAGTCAATACTTCGAGACGAGCTAGAATTTCAAGCTGATAAGCTTCAAGACATGGTTATGTAATCTTGAATGCCGGTACTCAAGTATATTTTTGTGCTTAGACCATAAACACGGAGAAGCTTCCTAAATGGTATTATGTAGTACCAAGTTGTTGCTGACCATGACGGCGGTTACCACACCATCACGGTTAGTATGAAAGTGATAGACAAGGCAGAGTGGCTGTTGTCTGTCTTTTTAGCTTACTGATGGCTCAATTTCTATACCGAGTAGGCACCTAGTCGCCTGTACTGTGTAGTTCATGACTTTGCGATGTACACACCACATGTTCGCAATCAAAACAAATAATAAATATCTTCATAACATTTTCATAACATACGTAGCATACATAATGTGTGTGTATATGTGTGTGTGTGTACCTAGGTATAAATACAATTCAAGTCTCTTATATTCGTCACTCGGTCGCTTGCACTCGCTTTCCCTTTTTTTCTCTCTCTCTCTAAATCATCGACCTTGCTCCCTGCCGTTACTCCTTTATCAACGGGGCTCTATCCTTATAACCCTATCCCGGGGATCACATATTTAGCTTCCATTCCATCCTTTCCATTATGATCAAAGTCCAAACTGTCCAAGCTGTCCAAACTAGACTCCGGTCTAGTCTCGTTCATATAGTTTAACAATAACAAATAACTCTTGAGTCCTGAGTCTTGAAAACAAACAAGACAGGTCTGAGGTTCTTTCCTTCATTCAGCAGTCTTGGCAATCCATTGAATCCAAGCTTTAAGGATACCCGACCACAACCTAACAATCATACCAAGACAATAGGAAAGAACACTGACAGCTTCCATCCAAAAGCAAATGAGAAGGTACTGGTATAACATGTGGTCACCACAAGAAATCAACATGTTCGGTTCGATCAAGGTAGGATTGATTGATCGCGTACGAGCCCTGTCTAGACTCTACAAAACCCATTTCTTATCCGCTGCGGTGTTTCTTCTTACTTCGTAGTCACTTCATGATCAGTCTTGTTTGCAAATTACATCGGATTCTCGCTCATATTTTCCATTATACCCTTTTCAAGTTTTTATTTTCTACCCTTTGGATTGGACGGAGTCTTCATCGATCATCAGATTTCCCCATATCCCACCTTTTTTTGTCTTAAACCGTTATACCGCTGATCGATCTTCAACGTTTTCCATACATCGATATTTTGTACATACATCCCTTAAATGCATAATTGCCGATGATAATAATTCCCCAGCCCCCGCAGAGTCTTTACTAGAAGCTCTTCAATTGATTTACACTTGGAAACTCCATCTGCGCTACCTTTCTAGAGGTCAATAATGAGTTTGCCTCAGGATCTCGAGAAAGGAATATTGGCAGAGGAGGAACATGAACAGGAACATGAAATTGGAACGAAAACAGAATCAACCGCATACCAATCCGATAATTCGAGAAACCCTTCGCCGAAAAATGATGGTTCTGCAAATGCGTCGATCGCCGACCGAGATTCGAATCTCGAAGCAGTCAAAACAATGGATGAAGGTCACATCGATGATCTCGAAAGACAAAAGGTTCGAAACAACCACTCGCATTGCGCATTCTCGAAATACCTACTAACATTCCTTTCTCATTTAGACAACCACCGAATCAATAAAAGTCGGACCATCCTCCCATCGCACACATCCAAATTCCGACTCGAACGATAAGACCAGCACGAACTCGAAATCCTCCAGCGGTTCCAGACTCGCCCGCATAGCCCATCGATCTCATACTCCGCGTGCCAAACTTCCACCGCGGCCTATACCAGTCTCCAATCTCGCAAACGGTATCGTAGGATGGGAAAGCCAGACCGATCCCGAAATGCCTCTGAATTTTCCGGAAACGAAGAAATGGGTGCTGACGGGTCTACTGGCTAGCATTACGTTTATATCTCCGCTCGCTTCCAGTATGTTTGCGCCTGGTGTAACATTTGCAGACAAGGAGTTTCACAATTCCAGTCTCATATTGAGCTCTTTCACCGTGAGTATCTTTGTCTTGGGATATGTCGTTGGGCCGTTAATACTTGCGCCTTTGTCTGAGATGTATGGGAGAAGATATGTTCTGACGGGTGGTAATATAATATTTTGTGTATGGCAGATTGGGTGTGCATTGGCACCTAGCTTGAGTACATTGATAGGGTTTCGATTTATGGCTGGATTGGGTGGTTCGGGTTGTTTAACCATTGGAGCTGGAATGATTGCGGATTTATTTCATGCGGACAGAAGAGGATTGGCGACTTCACTTTTCAGTTTGGGTCCTTTGTTTGGTCCTGTTATTGGTCCAATAGCTGGAGGTATTTCCCCATTCGTTATACCGGTCAAAGTGCAGTACATCTAACCAATCTCTAGGTTTCGTAGCCCAAAGAATCGGCTGGCGTTGGGTATTTTGGATTCTTTTCATTGCCGGAACTATCATAACTATCGGTATCGAATGTCTCAACGTAGAAACTAACCCACGTCTCCTCATAAAACGCAAGGTCGCGCGTCTCTCCAAAGAACTCAGTCGATCTGATCTCCGCAGCGTATACGATCCAAGCAATTCAGCACATCATTCAAATGCTTCTGTTCTAGCAAATGCCATGATTCGACCCCTGAAAATGTTAATTTTTAGTCCTATTGTGTTTATTCTGAGTTTGTATATGGCGGTCGTTTATGGACTTTTGTATTTATTGTTTACTACTATTACGACGGTTTTCACAGATAAATATCATTGGGCGCCAGAATTAGGTGGATTAGCTGTGAGTATATCTCTTCATCTCTTTCACCTCCAAAATCTCCATCCTCCCGTTTACTGCCAATCTAACTGTCTACTAGTACATAGGTCTAGGCTTTGGTTTCTTCCTTGGTCTCGTAGTAGTAGCTCGTATCTCGGACGTTACGGTAGTCCGCATGACGAAAGCAAATAATGGGATCTTTGAGCCTGAAATGCGATTACCGGCTTGTATATTTTTTGCTTGCTTTATACCGATTAGTTTTTTCTGGTATGGTTGGAGCATTCAGGGCGGCGTTCATGTAAGTAGTCCTCCCTACCTTCTCACTCTCCTTCGCCCTTCCCTGAAGATTCTAACATCCCCAGTGGATCGTGCCCATAATCGGCCTCATTCCCTTCGGTTTCGGTATGATGGGTATCTTTATTCCAATTCAAACATACGTCATCGACAGCTTCCCATCCTTCGCTGCGTCAGGAATCGCAGCATTGACAGTATCACGGTCGTTATTCGGAGCATTTTTACCACTTGCTGGACCGGCTATGTATGCAAAATTAGGGTACGGATGGGGAAATAGTGTATTGGGATTTATTGCACTGGCGTTAATTCCGGCGCCGATGATTATTTATAAATTTGGAGGGAGGGTGAGGAAAAGGTTTCCTGTTAAGCTTTAAAGGGAGAGGGAAGAAAAAGAGGAGGAAATTCAGGAAACTGAGGTACGAAAAATAATAAAGTGTGTGTGTGTGTGTATTTGATATACAACAAACCGCAAACACACATGACACAATGGAACAAAACAGAATAGTAATTCCTCATGACGGAAAATCATGAGAGGAGACGAAAACGAGATGAAGCGAAACATCCATCAACCTTACAAAATAACACCCCTACACACATAATTTCGAAAAAATTAGCGAGCATAAGCGATGGAGTTATGATATTCATTGGTTATTATTTGGTTAGGAATTGGGTGTTTACATTATTATTATTCTAAGGGTACTTACTGGTTGGCTCAGGTTCAGGTTGGATTGATTGGTGCGCTTGGTGCGTTTGGAGACCACTTACTATGAAAATGAGGGAACTGGAACTTTGGGGCATTTAGTACTTAATGGGTACTTACTGAGTACTTACTGAGTATTGAGTATTGATTGGTTAATGGGATTTTCTTATGATATGATTGATTGGAGTTGGAAGAGGATTGAAGCTTGAAGGATGGATCCTTTCTTGTTGGCTGTTGGTTGGGAGTTGAGGTTGGAATGAGGGTGAGTGAGGGTGGATGTGAAAGGGGGGAAAGGGAGGGAGAAGAAAATTGTATATAGATTATGTGTGGATGTGAGAGTAGGAGCGGGCAAATGGTTGATGGTTGGTACGTATATATTACAAAACCATACGTACGATGTTGTTTATACCGATTTTAATAAACTCGATATGAAGTTTACTCATGAGTAAATGAGTGAATTGGGGAATTAAATTCATTCATTCTTCTATTCATTATATTATACTATTAATTAATCAACTTCTTACCTTGATTTTCCCCAATATCTAAAAAAATACCCATCTACTGAATGAATGATTGATTGATACCTCTCATTATCGCAAGCATCACTCAAACAAAACGACGAAGAACGAACAAACATTCAATTACATGTTCTTCAACCAAACCATTCTCACTTCTCAATATATGTGTATACATGTATCACATATACGTCATCACAAAAAAGAAAAAAGGTTTTGTTGCATATCGCATAACTTCATGACGTCGATAATGATGACGAGAGATGATGTAGATGGTTGAATAAAATGACGTCGGTGACGTAGTTTTTGACATGTATGGATTTTTGAGATTTGGGAATATATGAAACAACACGTGAATTTCGGTTTTGGGGATGTTTGGGTATTGGGATTGGATTTGAGAATGAGAATGAGATGAAATGGAAATGAGTTAATTATGTGAAGAGGTGTAAAAGACAAAAAAGGAAAGGAAAAGAGAAAATTACAGATATAATGTGTGTGAATAATGATTGATAACTCAATATAAAATCTTATATTTCGATCTCACCACCACGAGAATGCCAAAAAATCAAGATGAGGTATTTAAGAGTCGAATCCGAATACTATTCTTCCATTCTCTAGATTCCGGAAATCTTCTCTTACACGTCTTTTTGTTTTGGTCTGAAATAATCACTTTCACTCATGTTCACTCACTTCTGACCCAGAGGTTCGGACCAAAAGGGGTATGTATATAGTTACATACCTTATTTGTGAAAAATAACTGAATGGAACGGAAAATTGAAAAAAAAAGGATGGTACAGGGTAAATGGATTCCGCGTGGCTAAATAACTATAAAGAAATAGAGATGGCGAACATTGCCCTGGTAGAATTTCTCAGGACAAATAGTGTAAATATAAAAGCATTTACTTGCGTTCTCTCGCTGACCACTTCCTACTAGCTTTCTAAATGAATAATAAACACGTCTTGTATGAATACATCTGGAAACATGATAGGGATGAGTCGGTATTCCTGTACATTTATTGCATTTTTGGAAGAAAAACAAGCAGGCGTATTTACAGTGCGGATGTGTGTTTAGTGATACCTTCATCGACAAGCTGGTTTGAAAGCAAGCGAAATAAGAAAAAACATCAGAGGATCAAGACGAAAGAAAGATGGGATGGAGTTTAAGGATCGCTAAGAGGCCAAAACTTCAAGTACTATTGCTTCGACTGTTGAAGTAGTGAATCATCAGATAAAATTGTAGATCCACCACACGGGCAGGAAAGTTTCACCCCTCTCAAGACTTTCAGATCTACCGAGTATTAGGTATATCTCCGATTCCCTCCAATCCACTCTTTCGCCACTGTAAGCAATCCCATAACTAATGAATACAAATAGGGAGCACGATAACTTTGAGAGTGCAAAACTGCGTAAAGATTTGGTCTGGTCATAGATACCTTCAGATGAACGTCGGTCACATTCATCCAATGTGATCACTATCCCATTCTCATCAATAATCCATTCCCGATAATTTTCCAACACAAATTTTTCTCTTCAGATGATATTGTTGTGAATTCGCCTCCCATAATGCAGATCTGCCCTTTTCCATGTCGTAGCACATCAAATGACTTTGCCGATTGCCATCAGCAACACGCTCAAGCTGTATTACCGCAGAAATCCAACAAAATACCGAGATCTCCAGTGCATATAACCCCACATGATCCCACTGCGAGATATGAGGCAGTGGAACTGTAGACTCGTGATGAGGAGAATAGGTTTTGCAAAAGTGTCGAGTTTGACATTTCCGAGGACAAAAAAATCTAAGAGCACGGTGGGAAAAATGCAATATTGTGGGTGGGGCGAGTTTGTGATTCAATGAAGCTTTTGAATTACCATCTTAGGTAAAGAAATGCGAGGAGATGAACTACCATCTTTATAGTTGTATATCGCTTTAAACACATCAGATACAAGGGTGAGAATAAATGCATGAAACCTCAGCCTGAGTAACATCAAATGGTATCAAGATTTTAGAATTGCAAGCAAAACATTCTAAAGATGTCCATATATTTTCAATTGATTGAGGTTTTGGTAGCGAGTTTATTGAGATTGAATAAACGGCGTTCGAGCTTGAGGTTTAGAAGTATTTTCAGCTTTCGAATGACGATGCCGGAGATCCTTGGCCATACATCAAGCTGTGAAATGTTATGCAGCCATACTTGCATTTGTATTATCTCGATTTAAACCCAGTCAAGATACAAACTCTCGTGATGTCAAAAAATCCAACGGTTCAAATGATATGAAGTGGCATCATCACTGTGTTGGTACATCTGACAATGGAATGAGACAAAACCCAGTGACATTCTGAGGCCCAAGATCGATGTGCAATAATAATAGTAACGTTGATACAAGCTGATAATAGACGTTGCTGATTGAGGAATGCGCGAGGAAATGGTGAAAAGGTGACAGGATCGCAAGAACTCATATTGATGTGGAAGAAAATATGATAGAAATAAAGTCAACACTTGGGGCACAGTATATGGGCCATCCAAAGTATTAAGAATATGCGAGTATGAGCTGTCATTATCTCGGTTCATCTCCCCAGGTTCTTCATGGTTCCCGATCAATACTTTCTTAAAGAAGTGTTTCGGCATGCCAGTATTTATATATTCCAAGGCAGGTAAAAAGATTACCAAACATCAAAACTATAGTAAGCTCGAGCATTGCCAGCATCAGTAGTAGACTGAAATCTTTTCCAGATATTGTTTCATGATTCTCTCATGTTATGTAGTGGCTACATCATCGGAAGACATTCCCATAGGTGGAATATACTCCGTATGTGTCAATGTCGAATCATTTTGGTCGATGGGTAGATAACCATCCGCACTGTTGGAAGAATTTGGACGGAAATGCAGTACGAAAGCATTCATCTCTTCATTTGCATGAGAACATCCATGGGAATATCGTGAGGAATGCATTCGTGCGGTGTCACCGGTATCACAACTCACGGCTCACCAAGAGCTACTTTATTGGCCATGGATTGCTTTGGCCACTAGCTGAACTGAACCATTGTTGAAATTCGTACAACTTCACAGGGTAAGAATTGCCGTATTATCATCAGAAAATGTTAGTCAAAGAAATCGCAATAGAAGAATTCTATGACTTAAGAGAATTTTGACTCGGAAATTCAGAAGTTGCTGAGTGGAGTCGCGGTGAGAAAACTGATATTGGACAAGAGGAGTAGAGTTTCGGGTCGGAATATCTGGAAGATTCTATGCTAAGACCAAAGAAGGAAAAATATGTCATGAAAAAATGATTTTAGCCACATTTGAGGTGTGTCTGAATAAAAGATCAAAAGAAGGTATCATCAATTGATCTGTGCATCGTATCAATGCATACTTTGGTCCCTGCAAAAGCGGTTTCGGATGTCTTAGATTCGCCCCATTAAATTTTATACAGAGGGTGCACCATTCTCGGTAAACTCATTCCCCGCCTTGACATGGAAGAAACGGTAGGACAAGGAGAGAAAAAAAGTATTTTCATACCTTCACTCAAAACAACCTCAACTCTCAAACCTCGTATGAAAACATACTTTTGAGTGAGTTAGTTATGACGACTTGTGTTTGATTGATTGACTTGTCAGGAAGTTTGAATTCGTTCTCAAAGTAAATATACGAGTAGATGTTGAATGGTAGATGTTGGATATTAAAAGTATGGTAGGTAGGCGAGGTAGGGTAGTAAAGAAGATAAGAGGATAATTCCTAAAGTCTCAATAAATGTCTAATCGCACCATTCTCATTCGATGGTTGTTCACTTGTACTTTCGTATACAACTTTAGTGTCTATACGAGTAGTAGGTATTGAGATTAGGTCTTGGATGCCGGCTTATTGCTTTCAATCTTCTCCATATTCCGAATAACTTTCGTTAGGTTACATACATGATACTTGATACATGAACTACATGAAGCATGAAGCGCATTCTCCAGTGCTGCTATATTCGGGCGAAGCAGGTCACAGGTGGAAGATTGACAACACTACCTAGGCTCGAGCTAGATAGATAGATAGGTATTTCACTTGAACTAATTCCCTCATCAATTCAATTATATCTTTCGCATCACAAGAGCATGGTCAAAGCTGTACTCCATTGTTTCTTTGCTGGACCTAGGTACAATTGAAAGTACCGAACGGAGTACATGACATTTTCATAGTCTACTTGACTACTGTGCAGTTTGACTTAGCCTCTTCAATACTCCCTTCTAGCGTTCCATTGTTCACTAAGTGTTCAATTCATCAATTTCGTTCACCTCGATTCATCCAATGATTGAGACGAATAAGTCTAGATGAGAGTCTAAAATTCTTTAAATCCTTGTCTGCATGAAATAATACGACTACTCCATATAATTCAACTAATATATATTACATATGTGACTCCACACAAGCGATATCCACTATCAATCTCCACTAGTAAGTCGGCTACACCTTATCATGCATATGCATTAGCGGTAGCAATTATCGGCCGACCTTTCGAGCTATTTATTGCTCCAGTAGATCTTTCATTGTATTTATCGATCCATAGGAACGCCAGTCCAAATTGGATATTGCAGAGCCGCGGGATAAATCTCCGAAAAGGTTTGGTAGCAACAACGACAACAAGATCAATCTTTGTCTGCCCCCCCCTCCCCACCACAAAAACCAAGGAAAACAATACAATATACACGCTCTCAGAAATTCAAAAGGTAAGGATAAACGAGATATATCATCTCTGCATGCACAGCGGTAAGGTACCAGGTCAAGTAGGTAGGAAAATTTTATTTATCTGCATGTGGTTCTTAAAACGCTCAGTGCGGATGCTTGAGCGCAAGCAGAAGGGTAGTCCGACATATAGAGTGAACACCTCCTTCCCCCCTCCATTTTCACTTGGCTTTCAAACATTTAATTCTGTCTCTGCGAAATTTACTCTTTCGTTTCCGCAAACTCAATCAATATTATCATTACCTAAAATCCTAACAGCATCTTCACCTATTACGTCGTACTTCCTATAACTCCAATCTTCTCTCTCTTTCCTATTCGTCTTTCAGGACGTTGATAGGAAAGTTGCTACAACTTTTAGATTGAACATCCCTCTTTACTAATAAAGCTTCAATCTTTTATCGTCATCGAGAGCCAGAAAAGTCATATCTGGCTCACGAGCAATGCCCCGAGGAATTCGGAATTCTCGACAGGATCCCGATAAATTTCCTACCACTCAACTTTTTCTCCTTGGTAAGTTTTATTTCCACATTCCATGACTGCGCCACGCCCATGATCAATTCGAAACACAATATTAAGATCATTTTAGCAATTGTCCGTCTCGCAGAACCTATTGCCCTCACCTCTATCTTCCCCTACGCGTGGGCACTCGTAAAGAAATTCAAAGTCGGCAACGAAGATGATGCTTCTTTCTATGCGGGCCTTCTCATCTCAGCCTTTGCGCTGGCAGAATCTTTGACGGGCATGTACTGGGGTGGATTATCTGATAGAATCGGACGAAAGCCAGTATTACTAGCAGGATGTTGCGGAACGATGTTGAGTATGATTATGGTTGGATTTGCGTCGAATATTTGGGTTGCGCTCCTCGGCAGAGCTCTTGGAGGCTTCTTGAATGGAAATATAGGCGTTATTCAGACTATGGTTGGCGAAATGGTCACCAAGAAAGAACATGAGCGTAAGTTTGATTTCACTCCGGCGATCACACGGAGTACCTGAACTAATTTCTTCTTGACAGCTCGAGCGTACTCGGTCATGCCATTTGTTTGGAGTATAGGTACTATTATCGGTCCTGCGATCGGTGGCACATTCGCAGATCCTACCTTGACCTTTCCAAACGTTTTCTCACCGGATGGTATTTTCAACACATTCCCATATTTGCTTCCAAATTTGATGTGTGCTGGTCTACTATTCATCAGTATTCTAGCGGGATACTTCCTCCTTCAAGAGACACATCCGGATATGCAACCCCGGGTTTCTCTACCAGATGATACATACCATTCCGAGGAAACCCCATTGATGGCCACTGCCGATGCCATTAAAACACCTGCAGTCGACTTGCGCGCCGAAACTTACGGAACTTTCGGGGGAAGCGATGACAGTGAGTGGCGAAACACGCCCACTAAATCTATCCCTCCTCGAATTTTCAACAGGAATGTTGTCGCTTTGATTATCGCATTGGGAATATTCACATATCATTCCATGACATATGATCATTTACTTCCCATCTTCCTGGAGGATACAAAAGGTCCTAGGGAAAGTATTTCCATCATGACTAGCGAATTTATGATGCCTGGAGGTCTTGGTCTATCTGTGCAGCAAGTTGGTGTAATTATGTCCATAAATGGCATTATTGCGTTGTTTGTTCAAGCAGTCATATTTCCCTGGGCTGCAGAATTTCTCGGCACTTATAAACTCTTCATCGTGGTCAGCGTGCTACATCCAATTGCGTATCTCATGGTACCTATCCTCGTTTATCTTCCTGCTTCATATCTCTATGCCGGTCTTTACACAACTCTATTCGTCCGCAATCTCCTTTCAATCCTAATATATCCCGTTCTTCTCATCCTCATCAAAGAAGCTACACCCTCTCCAAACGTTCTCGGAAAAGTCAATGGTCTTGCAGCATCGGCTGGTGCGGCTTGTAGGACTGTAGCTCCACCTGTTGCGGGATACCTGTATGCGCTTGGTAGTAAGACAAATTTCACAGCGCTGGCTTGGCTTGGAAGTGCGCTTGTGGCAATGGTGGGAGCGGCTCAATGTTTTATGGTCAAGAGAACGAGAAGGGATGAGGGAGCTGAGGAGGAAGGAGATAAATGGATGGGTGTAAGGAGAAGATATAGTAAGAACAAGATGGTTCCTGCAATTACGGTGATTGAGGTTGATTCGACTTCCTCATCGGAAAACAATTCGGATTCGGAGTCGGTACGGGATAAGTAGGGGATAATGGTAATGGGTAAGGAAATGGTAAGGAAAATGAGTGTACGAAAAGATCAACGAAAAAATGATGCATGTATGGCGTTGGATTTGGGGGTTGGGAAAATTTTAGAAATCGAAGGCGTATTGGTGTTGATATGATAGCGTTTAGCGGCACTGGGCTGGCGTTTTTGAACTGGTGAGAGGGTCGATTGGATTGGATTGGATAGGAAATCAAAATAAAAGATGCTTAATGAATAGAATATGAAAATAAAATTTAAGATGTTGATTGAGTGGTTTGATTGTTTTTACGGGAGGGGGCGTTTTTATTATTGTGTTCTGAAGGAGGAAAATGTAAGAAGTCACATTTACAATGTTGAGATAATATGACATACCTGCCTACCATTGATCTCCGGATGTAGATGTATATATATAAACATGCATGTATGATGTATGATGTGTGTAGGATGTATGTAGGTCATACATCATACCTCCTCGGTACCAGGTATCTAGGATCAAGGTAGGTGGATATATAGGGCTTAGAGGCAATGTTTAATATTCATTATTTCCCGAGTCTCGACAGTTGAGATGGAAAATTCCGATTCCGATGCGGTGGTTTGATGTGCATGCATGCATGTATGGAAGGTTGATAGGACCTCGGAAGAGTGAGAGTGAAGTTTAAATAAGCTTTTTGGGGATTTCTGGGGCTGGCTGGGATTAGATTTCCGTATAGTTTTAGGTAGGGGGATGGGTAGGAGGGTTACGAATGTGAATGTGGATGTGGATGTGAATATAGATGTGGATTATGGGGAATTGTGAGGTGTGTACGAGTAGTGGTGGATGGGGAATGGGATGGGGATAGGAGAGGGAATTGGTGGAGTATCGTCTGTCACGTCATTCGGTAAGAGGTTGCGTGATTGAGTTTTAAGTTTTGAGTTTTAAGTTTTAAGTTTGGATTGTTATATTTTTGGGGATTCGAGGACGGGGGATAGGGGGAAGGGATATCTATATTAATATTAATTTAAGGGAGAATATTTTGTGGGAATGTGAAAATATGATGGTATAGATGATAGAGTAGTAGTCAATACGAAAGAAATTTGAGTTGGTAATTATATTCTCACTAAAATGTACCTTTTTTCAAAATATGTGAAACATTACTTTTATTTAGGTAAGTTGAGAAGAGAATTTGCCTATATAGATGCGTCTAGCCCATTAAGATATCTGTGTACCGTCTGTTATCATCCATCACAAATAGGTATTGCAAGAATGTCGAGTATTCAATACAGGATGCCAATTGATGATATGCCACTCCAGTCTTTGCTGCACAATGTCTATCCTCCTAGCATTGGTGGTGGTAAACAGGCGTTCCGTACGATTGGTGTTCGATAAATCAATCCATTCATAACAATAGCTCTGCCGCTCTAGCTCCATATCCAACTCGGACTCCAACAGCATCCATTCATTTCCTCAGATCTCCACAACATTACAAGATACCAGCAAGACCAATTCCGAAATAGCTGCGTCTGATCCTCTTGACATTTTCAATCACCATGAGTCCAGCACCGGCAACCGTGAATATGTGCAATTAAGGGGATTCGACCGCATTATGCATTTCTTTGCTGCTAGGCACCAATTCCGCATCCCCTCTCGCGCTCACGCACAGCAACCAAACTTCCTTTTTCCTCCTTCCCCCCTTCATTCTTTCTTCTCTTTTCCTCTTCCTTAAACTCCGCGAAAGCTTTCAATACGCCTCCGAAATTCCACATAATACTACAATTTGGACTTTCCTTGCGTGTGCGAGACACAATATCTTCCGTCTCGATACCATGTTTCTTTAGGAGAAGACCCATATCTTTGAAGGCTTGTTCGGGTTCCTTGGGTTCGATCTGGACTTCTATATATCCTTGTTCTATCTGTTCCCTGAGGTATTTGTTGAGTCGCCATTTGGAGAGGTCCAGGCCTAATAACAGACCTGATGCAATGGGGGTCATCGCGACGAAGTAATGAACGGGGTCGTTCTTGAAGCGCTGGGCAAAGCGTTGAAGGTGGGATCTTAGTGGTGGCATGATTAATTGAGAGTTTGATTGATTGATTGATGTAATGAAAGAAGGAAGATTCATAGAGGAATTGAAAAATATTTTCGAGGTGATAACTATGAGGTGGTCTAATGAAATAAACTACTATTACCTAATTCATATCGTCCTACTATCGTCATGGCAAGTGATCTTCGGGGCCTAACTGTCGCACTAGGTATAATCTACCAAACGAATTTATAAACCATCTTGAATTAGAATAGATATAGCCAATCCAAGGGTTATGGGACTTTTCAGTGTTGCAAAAATACATTCAAAAGGCTATTGAATACCGCTTAAGCGAGAATCAAATAAGCCTGACATTGGAAAGATTATAATATTGCACAGCTCAGTGAGCTTACACAGCTGCAGAAACTTAAGGTAGGTTTATCTTAGACCAAGTCCAGTCACCTCGATATATAAGTCTTATGTTATGCTGTATTGAAATCCCAAACTTTCAGTGGCTTTTCCCTCAAATCCGAGGCTTTACTCGTAGGCGCACACATTCATGAAAAAAAAGGGGGTTTAATTATCCCAAGGATGAACTGAACCTATTCGGATTATACACATAATCCCACTGTATGATCTTCAAATATGAAAAAGCTTGACTCCGTACCCCCAGAGGTAGTCTGTGAGTGAAAATTTGAGAATTTTTGGTAGTTGCTCTCACTTGAGGCATATCAGGTAGTGTTGCTAATGCAGATACCCGTCTAGACTAAAGTCGCCCAAATGTGTACCAGATACCAGATTCAACCAATTTCCGTGGTATCATATTCTATCGGCCTGAAGCCTAGGAAGAAGAGAAAAAAATATGCGCCTACTGTACGCGAAGTTTCACACAGGCTAAATAAGCCATGGTAAGATGAAAGAACGGGCGTGCAAGCTCCTTTTGTTTATAGGATCTTCTGAACCATAGGGTCCAGTACGACAACAGCAAGGCAGCTGGCTGTCCTATACAGCCTATAGCTCGTATCATATGGAAGTGTTTGATGTACACATATACCATAAATTAGAGTCAGGTTGCATAGGTGATAAGATGTAGAGGAAGACAATCTACCAAATGCCTCAAGATAGCAATATCGATAGAAATCCATCACGTAACTTTTTCCTGCGAGACGTAAAGCTAAGAGGTGACCTTAATAAGTCTTACGGAACTGCCTCCTATTCATGGCCCTCGAAGCACACTCGAAAGATCTATCTGACAGACAATGACGGAAGGTGTTGAAAAACTCTCGAGGCAGGGCTCCCCCGAAAGAAATCCCAGACACTGCGGATATATCCGATGTGCGCAAACAGCATCCGATTATTTTACCAGTCGCTATCCGTAGAAAGTAGAATATCGTTGCTCAGGCGCCGACCCACAGCTTTTCTTGGAATCCCTCCCTCAGTTCCCCGGTTCCCCGGTTCTCCAATCACCACAGGCTAACCCTCAGTATGTGCAATTTCCGTCCCCCCACAATTGGCCATAATTGCCCTAAGGTCTGTATAGGAACCTCTTAAGCTCTAGTTGTTGTTTCAAAATCGATTTGTCTCTCTCTGCTGCGCTGTGCCACTGTTTGATTGGTTTGCAAAACATCCATCCTCACAACAATCTCAGTTCTCCTTCTCAACCACCGTAAACTTAGGCATCTTTGCTTTATCCTGCTCGGTAGGTTCAAACCCAAGCTTCTTTTCTGCCGTATCAGACAAATAGAGACCGATTGTACCCCAAGCAATGAAGCTTGCGCCTATCATTGCGCGAGTGCGAGGAGGGAGTGCTCGAAAGGATCTGTTTGTTGAAGAAAGATTAGTTGGAAATGAAAACGGGAAGCAGGCATGAGAGTTAAATTAGAGAGCGGGAGAGGCCTTACGATAATAACGACATCTTTGAAAAGGCAATGAGACTGTTTCCAATAGCGTACGTCTGGAAATTGTGGTTAATGTTATTGAAAATCGATGTTCTCGGGTTATTCCGAGACACTTCGGATACCAAAGTTGGATCCGACATCCCGATGATGGTAGGGGTATTCAAGTTTATGCAGACTAAAAGGCGTACTTCTATCGGTGTCCCCGCGCCAATCCAGTTTGTGGTAAGTACTGAAAGTCGTATATTTTTTTGATCTTAGTATTATATCATGATCTGCTACTATAAAAGTTTTGTTGCGAGTCTTGAAAGATAATTGTCAGCTGAAGTGAATCAAAATATTCGATTAAGTATTGATCAATCCCTGAGAAGCCTTCATCGAAAGTTCGCATCACCTCCAGTCGTCAAATGGCAGATATCAAAACCCCTCCAACTCTCTCCTCAGATTTCTTGTCGCTACCTGTCGAGCTCATGAGATTTGTGATCCTTTATATGGACCTCCCCGCCATCAAGTCTATCCGTTTGACTTGCAAGTTTCTCTCCGTTCTCAGTACACCATACCTCATCCTTCCCAAATTCCATGGTTTCGCCCATCGTCCCGATTTCAATCGTCTCCTTCATCTATGCCGTCATCCAAACTTTTCCTCTTGTATTCAATCTATCGAACTCAATCTTGGCGACATCGATGAATTCCATGCAAGGCATAATGCAATTCTCTTTAACTCAGACCCTAACGTATTCAATCCAGAAACTCGTGCCGAACTAACTGAAGAAGCTTGGTTTCGATATTCTAGTCTCAAGTTCTTGAGAGAAGAATTCAACTCTCGAATATGTGAATCAGGTCTGTCCGAAGTCTTCCGTTCCCTGCCTAATTTATCAGCCCTGTCTGTTTCTATGGCCAATTTCCCCCTACCCGATGAACCGGCACTCGCTCTACTAGCATCAGTTTGGAGAGTTCCTTCGACGAGATTGCTACGCAGAGAATCGACAAAGGAGCTTTTCACCACGATTTTGATTTCATTACTCCGCAGTATTGAGGTTCTGAAGCTCAGAAAACTGTCTCACGATTGCTTACCATTTGAGTTTTTCGCGCAGAACAAGGTTCTATTCGAGTCTATAACACCTGTTTTTTACAATCTTACAGATTTACGCTTGGCTCTGGATTATAGCGATATACCTAATAATTCAAGTTTCCAAGAAGTATTTGCGAACATCGCTACATGTTTAAATGCTGCTACGAATTTGGAGAGTTTCAATCTGTGCTTTCAGTCAAAGCGTAAGATTGATATTACACCACTGCTTGAGGATCTGCTGTCAAAATCCAAAGAATCCAATTGTATTCTACCTCCCCTTCGAAGCCTACATATAGAAGGCGTGTCAAGTAGATTTCTTGCCATGGAAAGCTTTCTTATAGCATTGGCGTCTACTCTCGAAGTAATAGAGTTTGGAGGAGACGGATGCCATGAGCCCAATCGATTTTCCAACGGAGGAATTCACTTACTGGATGGAAAATTTCGAAAGTTGTTTGAGAATGTGGAGAGAGCTATTGGAGACTCATTGACGAGATTTGTTGTTAGGGGCGATTTAGTGGAGATCGAGGGTGGGGGTTCTTGGTTCCTCAACAAGGAAGTCGGATGGCACGGGGCTATGGATTGAGATAGGATTGAAGAGTCGATGAGAAAGTGCGAGGTCAGCAACTGCTTTAGTACTCACGCGCTTCGCCGTTACGTACTCAACAGCGATCCGGAAGATACCAACCAAGAGGAAACTACATCATGTTTTACGCACTACCAGTACTGAGACCTGGCTCTCAGGTCATAATTCCCTGTGGTTTTTTTTCATCTTCTACTACCTCCACTCCCAATACAGATGGAATTTGAAGAATTTATCACGGCCAGCCAGATCACCCATGCTTATGGTTCATCTCTGACTTCTATCATTAAGTATGTAATGGCTGTATACACACTGTGCATAGATTACACGCCTCATTGTGGCCGCTGATACGCAGAAAGGCAAAATATGAGTTGCAGGAAGAAGCGTGTGTCCAAGGAGAATATTTCATTTGATATCACTGTCTCGCGTCGCTATTGTAAATACAGGTCACATTTTAAAGCCGACATTCCCTCCTGGGGTCTGAGTGCTGATCTTAACATGGAAGCAAACAACCACCAAGACGACGGTACACGTTTTTATGTCACCACTTTGTCATTGGAGCGGCAACATCTTGATTGAGAGATGGAGATCGGTTGTTGAGGGTAACCAGAACGGATACTGCTAGCTCGTTCATTACCTTGCCCAGTAATCCTGTTTTAAAACTGGTATTCTGGACTTGTTAGCGTGTGTTGTGAATGAGCTTTTTCAAAATGCATTTTTAGTTTAGTTTTGGCAAAGCCTAGAATTACTGTATTAGAGATTACGCATAAAAATTGGAGGCTAGGAACGGTAACTATGTATACCTATCTATAGATGCCCATACTTCAATACATAAGCTTTATAGGATATGTGTACAACTTCAACTTCAATTCCAATTGCCGTGGCAATCTATGTTGAGATTATCTGAACAGAAAAGGTACAATGGCGCGATTCATAAGTGGGACACGAGACAGAGACAATGGTAGGGTATCTACAGCTTCAATTTCAACACTCGTCGAGGTCAACTAATAGATGTGTAGTCAAGGTATAGTACGACAATACCAACCCTTCCATTGCCAAGTCGAATGGTTCAGACTATAGTGAGAAGAGATGGGTGTTAATAAATGGTTTCTGGTAGGAGCAGAGCAGGGTCGTGAAGGGAGTCGGTAAGCTTTCATCACTTGACATAATACAAAAATTTCTTACCATTTTCCGGTGTTATTCAGGTGGCGCGATGGCACTGGCGTGGGCCCTCCCCCCGGTCAGCTATATCGATACAAGGACTTCAGGTTTTGCAACTTTGATCAACCCTTGCTTTGCTCTCCAGGATGACAGTCATTCAATTGTATCGATATTCAACCTCGACTTTCATCACATTGTTACATGGATTGAGCTCTGCTTCACTCTTCGGGATAACAATCGGTCAGTTATATCAATACCCAACCTTGATTTTTGTTGCACTATCACATGAATGAGCTAGGTTTTGCTTTGCAGAATCATAACTGGTCAGCAATATCAACACAAGACTTCTGTTCTGGTTGCAGAGATTGAGATTTGCTTAGCTCTCTGGAGTCATTGGTAATATATCTGCTCGGAAGATCGCTTCTATCCCGGTAACCGTCAAATATGAAGCCAATAGAGGAAATAGTTAGAGTAGTTAAGATTCTGAGTCCTACTATGCCGTCCTCGGTACTGCTTTGGTGGTTCAATACACAATTCACCGACTTCCTCATCGAATCTATCATCGAATCTTCATCGACCAAAACCACAACTGCAATCACTTTCTTACTAGCATCATTTGTCTGTGACTTGCTGTCACTATGACAACACCTCTTGGATCTGCAAGTGACAGCTTTATTTTTATCTTAGATGTCACTGCTACTCCACGCCGCTCAATATAGAACACGACTTTGGGTTTCGTCGTAGCGTTGAGATTTAGTTCAGAGCAATTCACTGGCCATCATCATTCCAGAATTTCGAGGCCCACACATCGAATAGAAAGCACTTGCTGTTTGTTGACTACCAGTGTTTAATTCTATTCGAACAATTTTGTTTTTGACTTCATTCGAAGAAGACTGTTTGCACCATATCTCCGAACAAGCCAACCTTCAAGTTACATCCCAACGCCTCATTACACCTTAGCAAGCAAGATGTACTGCTTCAACAGTGCTTCTGATCAAATTGCGAAATAGACTGTTAGCATCACAATCACTGCACAAGTTGTCACCTTCCATCGCTCTCGTATTCTGCACTTCGGTCGCAAGCTCCCAACTGACAATTCTCACGGTACATGAAGCCTCAGGGACGTCTCGATATTAGCTAGCAAGCTGCGGTTTAGCTTAAGCTCAAAGACTCGATAAGCATCATCTCAATAGTGCCATGTCCTTGTTGGGTCCACAAGCATACTTCATACTACTGTTACTACTGTTACAGTAGCACTCCAATGTAGAGCAGGCCAGCTTTACACCCAAAATCTACAGCTATCTCGAATTCCCAAGCTCATAGGTCCTCACATACTTTTCAGCAGTTTAATGATGCTATTCCGTTATACACAACACCAAATTATATACCACAAGAAAGATTTAGATCAGAAGGTCGTTCTAGATACAATACGTGCATTCTCTGGGAGTAGATCAATCGATAGATGACGTATGCTCTAGAATAAATCTGAGGACCACAACGGTATGTAAAAAGGTTTATTTACTAGGGAGTACGTTGGAGCACAGCCAGTGCTATTTCCTTCTCTGTTGGTTCGATGCAGATCTGTCGACGCGTAACATGAGTTCTAATCACTTAGTGGTTTGGCCGGGCTTTATGGACCATTGGTCTGATGTAACGCAAAATCAACTTTGGTTTTTTGTCTTCCTTACTATTCAGCACACTAGACGACCATTCCCAACTTAGTCGATTATACTCAAAACACCTGAAGATGTGGGATTCATGTTCGGCCTCATATTTACTGATTCATCAGGCCGACTAAATAATTGAAGGTGCTCTCTTTAGAGATTTGCTGAAGCACGATATGAGGTTTTCCAAAGGTTCTGCTGAAGCATAACAAGGAGTGTTGTTTCTCACAGTAACCACAAAGCTATGCAAAGGAAAACAGATGACACGTCACCCAATCGCGGGTGCCAACAACACGCCTACAAGTTCTACACGAACTGCATCTACTAACTGATTGTACTCTTAGCAATGGGATGTATCTTGTATTCGCTACTCAGCCATCGGACGTCAACAGCAGGAAGTTTGTTTCAATTTAAAAAGAGCACACAAGCTAATCGATCTAACAATGAGCATGCTGTAGGTAGGAAGAAAAAACCTACATGATTATCCTCGGTTGCGTTTTACTTCAAGGTTGAATAGTGTCACAAGTCGCCGCTGATGCCAACACTACAAAGTTGATACGAATCAGTCGAATAACCTCTGTGGAGCCGGCTGCCCTCTCCAAATTGTTTAAAGTCAAGATTTTCCTAAATTCAAATCACACAAGTTGAATATGAATCTCTTTCCAAGACGTTTCATCTACTTTCAAAACAGACTTGCCGGTGAGCATTGGACATGACTTCTGTCTGCTTTGGATTTGCAGCGCTTGCCAGAGCGATTGGATACTTATGACGCTACCTCGCCCCATTCTCCTGTGGAATTTAGACTAAATTGGAGTATATGATATCGAAACTAGCGGCTTAACAAGCATGAAAGAAAAACGCCATATCAGAGTTCTCTTACGATATATTGATAGGCCGTTATCCAATCCTTTCACTGACAGAATTCTGGCTTCAGTTTCTACATACAAATTCTGTACTTCTAGCTACGTTACATGGTAATCTCATCACGGAGGATCCCATGGCACGGAGTGTGATGTAAGAACTTTTGAGCTTTTCGTACTCCCCAATTCATTCTCTTCTACTTTTGCTCTCGTTTTTCATTCAAATATCGAAACAATCGCTTCCGTAAGCAATGCTGTAAAAGTCATATCTGGCGGGTTAAAAGCAACATTGAAAGACATCGTCTTAATACTGGTAGAATCGACGTGATCACCGTTGCTAAAGTGCCACTTGCTGAATGTGTCGATGCTATTACTGGCCTGAAGGTCGAACCAGAACTGCCGACGCCGGTTCCAGAGTTAGTTCCTGAGTTAAGTCTGGAAAGTTCTTGCCTCGATATGCTCTGCAATTCATATGAGAAATGCTTGGTGACCGTGCTGGCTTTTCATGTCGACGGGATGGGAGCGGCGAATCTGAATAGGAGCTTCTTAAATGTCGTTTGGATCGTTGTTGAGGTGTGCCCATAGCTTGCGGGGGTCTTTAGAAAGGGTTGGAAACCATGGGAGCAACGGCGGCGGTGCAGACACAAAGGGAATATCTTCTGCAGCTCCCCCCTCGGCCTACTTTCATTACTATATAACTTAGTCAAGCGGAAATACCCCACGTCATACGAAAACTCTCCGTCAGGACCTAGCCATAATGATGTGTGGGGTACGAAGATTGGAACTGGAGATTGCATGTTGAGCTGAAGCAGATTGAGCCAGCGAGAAGCGTCTATCGTTACCCAGTGGAGACGATGACCGTGAAGGATTACGTTTGATTCTGACTCACTAATTGTGGGCTGCTTTCTCACAAAGCCTTACTCTTATCATCACAATGTCTTCTAAATTCGTTGGCTGGATGACAACAATACTTTACGGTACATCTAAACAACTAAAACTCATAAAGATGACATCCATGCGTGTTTCTATACCACGACCTCGCTCTATTAGCTATTTTCATATGTTTTAGCGGCTGCAATATTAAAGGACAATACGAGAGGCAGGGATATGATCGAAGGACTATACTCACTTTCCTTCCATGTATACGAATATACCAGTCCTTAACTAGGACGGTGATGATTGTCATGATATTCAGGGCTCAATGTCGCTGTGAGTAGGTAGCGTGTAGCTTTTGCTTCCTCCAAAAACGCATTTCAACTTATCCTCGCAACATCCCGATCACATCACTATTCTCCAGTAACCCTCTAAAGAAAATCCTCGCCACTAGCCTCTGCCTCCTTGTATTAAGAGAATCTTTGTAATCCTTCTAAAACTGTCTTTGTCTCTGAGTTGTTGATCGGGGGCTTTGATTGAGAAGGAAGGATCATTTGATTAGGATATGATGGGCGACAATCAACTGCAAGAGGAAGATGGAGGACACACACACACAGACCAGGATAACAAGAATTCTTCTTCGATTTAAAGCAGTCTTTTTTGGCCATGGTAACTTGAGGTCAAGATCTGTGGTAGTGGTATGAGAAAGGGCTTTGAAGATGCTGGGGAGAGCAATTGTTTGTTGAGTTGAACTTCTGGAGGTGATCTTTGGGGTTGTCAGGTCATATTATTCAAGTTATAGGAATTGGTTAATGGATTGATAGATGAAATATATCTTGGCTCAAAGGCACCATGGAATTGCAAGGAAGTCTTGATGTGCTTTCTCTTTTGTTGAGCGTGAATTCGGATGCCCACACTCATTTATCAATGTTCATTCATTCATCCAAATTTTCCATTCTTCTCGACTCATCTCATTTTATGTACACCACTGACTAATAAATCAAAGACCCGATAAACTATCTACCCATTCCCCTATTATTCTGGTACAAATCTACCTTCATCAAAGCCACCCATTGCAATCCACCTCAAACCTCTCCCTGTCCAGGCGTACTACGTGCATTGAACACCAACTAAGTCCAAGTGGCCTTCTTCGCGGCCATTGCCACTGCTTTATACGCTTTATATACTTTTCTTTTTCTTCTCTCATTTTATTCAGGATAATCGAGGATCTGAACCTAACATCTGTGTTCACTAAGAGAATAGGTAGATGAATGAAGACAACAATAGAATAATACACTTAATAAGAAAAAGTCATCTTTCTCACACATACACCTTCATTCCCTCCATCCTCACACAAACAACCCCATCCAACCCAAATTAAGCAAACCTATCAATCTCGCTTCCAATCCAACATAAACGCATCCCTCAGCTACCACCTCTCCAATCGTCCCATCACCCCCTAACCGTCTCTTAGCAAGCAGCTAGCTAGCTATTCGTCGAATATCCAACCCAAGTCAATACGTGGAGTTACAATATCACACAATATTACACAATCTTTCTTCCTGTGCATTCAAATACCTACACAAACAAATCCAACTCTCCACAATCCACCACCACACAATCAAGGCAGAGTCCAGACCACGTCTCAGCCAACAGAACTCCCGTAACTAGTAATCCCAAGATCAACTGGCCACACTCTCCCAACCCAACCGCATCGAAACGAACAACAACACTTATCTCCCATTTCGTCCTCGAAAGCCGAGCTCATGCTCGATAAACACAGAGGCAAACACAGAGGCAAAGGTAGAGGGGAAGACGAAGACGAAGATTAACATATAGGAAATACACGTCCATACACAAATCAGAATACTGAGATCCCTCTCATCGTTCGCTTATAGCTGAAGGGAAGAAGTATATTATAAAAAACATTGGCTGTGCATAAACAAACGAATCAAACAATTACTAAAACTATAAACATAAATCAAAAACTGCACAGGCAAAAAAAAGTACCTTATACCATTCCTATACATAAGCTTTCCGTCCACTCAATAGCTCAAGGACCTCCTATCCCTATTCATCCTCACTATGTACGTATAACCTTAACTATCTACTCCTAATTTCTCTGAATGTTCTCCGCTCATGCATGCACCATCATCAATCAAGATTTATTGCTCCCCTCCAACCAAATTAGTACCCTCTCTCAAACCCTCGACGACCAAATCATGTCCCTCAGCCCGGCGATAGATATCCTTAACATCGTCTGTAGTAGTTTCAAAATGGGATGTAGCGTCATAAGATTTGGAGATGAAGATACGGTCTTTCTCACCGCTCTCGAGTGGTTCATAGAGAGGAATTGGTGGACCCTATTTAGTAATTTGTGTTAGTACTGAGGAATTTTGGGCACGCCGAGTGGTGGTTAAAAAAAAATACTTACCATGAACTTCTCCTCAATCTTTCCAAGACGCTCAAGACCTGGCGCAAGCTCCAAATGATGATTTGAATCGGTCTCAGCAATGGTGGAAACGATGGCGATGTAGTAACCCTTTGGACAAACACTATGGGCGCTGGAAACGACAGCAATGTAAATATCTATAAATACGTCAGTCACAATATCCTAGTGCTTTGTGTCTTTGAAAAACATACCGTTCTTGCGTCCGACTTGAGATTGAGGAATGATAAGTTGAGCAGAATCAGCATTATCTGTTCCAGCAAGTGGGTGGTTCAAAATGCAAATAGCCTTTAAGAGTTGACCGACAACGCGAACCTTGTCAGGGAAGTATGATGGGTCTGCGATAATCTTCTTTGTCTTAGTCTCGAAGTGCATGGTGGAGTCATTTCCTTGAGCATCCTTCTCGTGCATAGAAGCCTTGATACCGCAGATCTTATCTCCATCATATTTGAACTCATCGATGCTTGCATTAAGCATATAGGTACCACCGTAAATAGCGGACAAACGAGCAAAACCTTGAGGGAGTTCACCGAGACCGTATGCTGGGTAAATGTATGGGGACTTTCCGTAACGGGCGACTGAGTTTCCATACAAACGAATGCGATCGATGGTTGCTGGAGCTGTGCCCTTCTCGTTGATATAGTCATCGGTTTGGTATAAAGCCATAGCATGGCCAAGGAAGTCTCGAGTGCCAGTCTCGAGTCCGAATTTGTCGTAAACATCCTTCATGGTGCAGGTGCTCATGTTAAGTCCTTGTTTTTATTAGTAAATTACTGAATAGGAGATATTTCAACAATCTTACCCTTGTGAGTAGCAGGGTCCGCGGCATCGAATGTGCCAATCCACTCAAGGAAACTCTTCATTCTTCTTTTCTCAAAAATGCCCATTAAGGATGATCTCAAAGCCTCACCAGCATCGGATGGAACCTTTGCAACCATGGCCTTTGGACCAGTACCTTGTTGTACGTAACTTCCAGCCACAGATCTAAACTCAAGATATCTCGTAACATCAGTCGAAACGAGGATGTTTGTGAGTTCGCCCGAAGACATCAAAAGCTTTGGCACCAAATCGATATTCCAATCATTGGCACGTCCGTACTTCTTCCATGGCTCCTCCCCCTTATTATAGTTTCCATACTTCTTGAAGAGCTATCATGATTGTCAGAACAGAGCTTCGCAGACCCAAGAATCGTACTCACAGCTTCGATATTGACAGAAGCAGCTTCACTATTGAGAAATTAGCCATTGTTGACTTTATCTACCCATTCTGCGAGCTTGAAACACATACCCTCCATAGTGATCATTTCGATCAATATGCAAGACCTTTTGACCCTTAACACTCAAAACTCTATCCCCCAAAAAGTCAGTAAATAATCTCATCAACTTTGCCCAAATCGACATACCCAGAAAGAACACATTCCGTCAAACCTAGAGTTCAGTATCAGCCATATATCCCCAACAAAAAGCATAAATGCTCCTATCCATGCCCCTCCAGCCAATGCGGGGTTGAATAAGCTTACCAGTGCCCAAAACGACAACATCATATTCGGGGGCGATTTCATCCATCTTGAATTAAAATCTTGATATTTATTAGGTAGTAGGTTGATTTGCGAAAAGAAGTAGAAGAAGAAGAATATAGAAAGCTTTCTTGGTGAGGAAAAATCGCAAATGTGGTTTATGCTGAAATTGCAAAGGCAGTTATGGAAATGGTCGGTGAGACGTACAACGTCGTTCTGCTTCACCAATTCTCTTGATTGGCCTCGCTAAAGGGGGAAACTGGAGTACCGCTTTGTTGTTGCTGCTGGTAGATTTTGTCTTGGTGTAATTATGCTCAGGGGCGAATTTGTGGAGTTCCTGGTAAATTGTCACGATTGATTTTGGGTCTTGACAAATTGATATATGTATTTGGTACATGGAATCTCTTAATTTGAATTTCTAACGGTATTCACTTATGTTGAAACTTTCACTTGATCTCCTTCTATACAGTACCAAGTAACAAAAGATTCTACTCATACTCTACCAATCTTTCCAATTGTTCAAGACAAAGATAATCCTTTTTTTCAGATTCACATAAATGCATAATGCGGCCATAGCTGTTCTGCCCCATATGCGTTTCTACTTATACAGATGATGGCTGTAGGAAACCAAATCATTCATGCCAATTGGAGACACCTTTCCTGCCCCAAGACTCGTTATTTTTGATCTAGGAGTATGATCCTCTATCATACATCCTCCGTGATTTAAGCCGTAACCTGTGTAGGTTTTGGCTCTGCGTCTCCTTCGGCTTCAGCTAATACATCCTCCTCCACATCTTCCTCAAAATCTCTGGGGGTGTATAATGGTCCTTCGCCCGAAAAGTCAATTTCTGGATCATCCTTCGCAATAACCTCCGCTTCTTGCCACGAATAATATCTTTCAGTCAAAACTTGTTTGATAGCTCTCTGTGTTCTCCGAACCTGTGATCCCCGAAATTAGCTTCTATCCTCAATCCTTAAATTTGCGCGGCACATGAGCCAAATAGGACATAAACCGAGATAACCACTCACAGTCATATCCCTCTTCTCCGCATCCTCATCACCGTAACCCGCCTCCAATCTCTGTCTCTCGTAACTTTCAGTAGCAATGCGATTCCTCTCCTTACAGCAAATCCACCAAAGTGAATGTAAATCTTCCCAACTTTTCCCCCTCAACTCTTCCGCGCTCCATGGTCTACCATGACTTCCCTCCTCAGCTGGCGTGCTAAGTGCCTTATCCTTATGTCTGAAAAATTCATATAATCCGTGATTCTCATCAACCTTGACTTTTAATCGTTTCGATTCATCTAGGACTGGCTGGGGTAGTTTCGCATTGGATACTGAGAGGGGTTGACGGGGCCCCGTTCGCCTTTGTGTAGATACTCCGCGCAGACGGTTCATATCCCGGGGATATAAGTATGTGCTGCTGGTAGAGAAGGAGGTGGACTGAGTGCATGATGATGTTGTGGAGGAGCTTTGTAGGCAGGGAAGGAGGAACGCTGGCGGAATATTTGCTGCCTTTCGTAGTTGTAGCAGGCTGCGAGCCACAGGTCGAATAACTGTAGAGGTCGACATCTTGCGTTGAAGTTGTCAATGGCGGTGCAATCACCGGCTCCAGATTACTTCCTCATCAATCAAGAATCTCGAAAACTCGATAAATTATTTCGGTCACCGTATAAATTTCAGGTGGGGTAAAAAAATCAGACCTAAAGCGCAAGTCAACATATTATCCAGAATTTATTGCAACCACATGACTTGAGTAACCACCTGTCACACAAACATCCTCCTAACGGTCTCTCGGGTGTCGCACAAGAAGTTTTGTTGCATATCGGATTTGCGCCCGATGCTTCAATTGAAATGCCCAACCTAAAGTCTCAACATACCATACCGAACCGAGAAATAAGCTGAAGTTATTCTAGGCCTCATCGGCTTTCCTATAATTCTCCATTTGTCTAACAATGCATATCATGGCTTCTAATAATCTATGATTGGATTAATATGAAATGTGCGACACCACCAATGCTGATCAAAACGGCACAAATGCACGATGCCGATGCCGAATGTATAGTTGCATGTTAGACGCGACACTTGTTTCTCCGGGATAGTCATTTATTTCTCAAGTATGAAGCTGCTTGGGATACCTATCAGCCTGAAGCCCTGCTAGTGCGGTGGTACGATGGCGATATTCCTGCTGCGACTCGCACAAACAAAGGCATAGATCCGCCCAGAACATCCATATCCTATTGCATGCATGAAATTGAAGTCACAGGAGCTGGATCTAGATTCGTTTGCATGTTTAGCTGTTTTGGTGCTATGTTCTACAGTCGTGTCTAGTGTTTGGTGTTGGTTTCCAGCGAGCTGGGGATGATCGTTTCTGCAAGACGTCTTGTATTCTGTCATTCATCATAGTAGCATTGCTTTTGATTGTCTATTGTTCCGATGTTCAAAGGTTAGATCGTGGTCGGTGATGATCCATGGAGGATCAATTTATTGAAGCTAGTCCCAGGGCGACAGAAAGACGGGTCATGAAAAAAGATATGTTCGATTCAATATCAATATCCAATGGATAGTCGGCATTTCAATTCGAAAGTTGAACGAGGGTATTGATAAGGTATGAACATGTTATTTGCTCTATGCTATCTGTGTTTGAAGGCGAATTGACATCATTGTCAAGTACTGAACTTCAAATATTTTCAGTATATGATCCTCTTCGACTATTTTGGAGTACTACTTTTTCATTCAGGTAGAGGTTATTCGATGACGTTTAATATTTTAAGATTCATCACATTCATTCGCAAAATGGTAGTCTAAAAAGGGTATGATAGAATTGAAGCTAGCATGTAAAGAATGCCAGGATAGTTGTATTATCTCCACATCTGGATGTACGTCTCCGCCTAAGCCTTATGCTCTCCACCGTTCCGAAGCTCCTCCAATGCGCACTCAATCTTATCTGGAAGAGTACCCTAAGCAACGCCATGCATGCCAAACAGTAATCAAGAGGGTGACATTCTCGCATGCAATGACCCGGGTATCACAACAATCTGAAAGCCAAAGATCGATCGAAAATTACAAGAGGTAGACCATTCCTGCAGCGGCTGCAGCGAATGCACCTCCTGAGACAAAGTTGGCGGAACCAGCAGCCTTGCTAGTTGCTGAAGCAGCCGCGCTTCCAGTAGCAGAGGCCGAAGGAGAACGAGTCGTGGAGCCGCTAAGAGTACCGTTGGTGGCGGTTCCGTTGGTGAAGGTGCCGCTGGCGAGTGGGGCGATAGCGCTGGTTGCAGATGAGGAATCAGAAGATGCAGTAGTGGCTGCTGCAATGGATGCGAAAGCAACGAGGAAGATAGAAGGCTGCATTTTGAACGTGGAGTGAATTGGTGATGAGAGAGGTGGTTGATATTACTTTCGAAAGGTTTCGAGATTAAAAAGCTTTGAGCTTGTAGAATTGTATGAATTAAAACGAAGGTGGTTTTGTTTGTTTGTTTGTTTGTCAGTGAATGAATGTATTTGCAAAAGAAAGTAGAGAATCGAATGGTTCAAATACTAAGCTTATTTTATTTGTGGCAATAGGAAATTACACAGCCTTGTAAGGGGCACCACTTCTTGTCTCGGTAAGATTTATATATAGAACGATCAACAATCCAGAATTCTAGAGGCAGGGTGAATCATGTGACCTAAATTACGAGATTTTTAACATGAAATCCAAGTAAGACAAGGTGAAGCGAAGATCTTTTTGGATGTCAATTAATGTTTGAAACTTCTTCAATCCGCCTCATCTTACATACGAAGACAGCAGAAATGATTGCAAAGAATACACATAATCAACCTATCGGTGAAAATGAACTATCGTTCAATCTAGACCCGAAGTTCAGACTTTGTGATCATAGCGGTCGTGGCAGACCTATAGTAGAGTGTAAAAAGAAATTAAGAGGAGCAAGGCAATGGCACAGGTGAAAGAATCAACCGATCCTTGAAATTACTTCACTTGAAGTTGAAGAGTCTGATCGAAAGCAAACTCTCATTTAAAATGTGCTATATTCAGATCGTATGTATCATCCTGCTCAGAGAACAGATACTACCTCGATGTACATTACAGACAATTTTGGAGATGAGTTTGTGGCACGAAGCCGCAAGGCGAGGCAGTGGAATATCGAGTATTGATATACACAACTTTTGTCGCACCGTACCGCCTCAACAATGCTTATTCGGACAATACAGTAGCATCCCACTCTTGATGCATTGAAACACGGGCTTTTCCATGCATGACTCGCAAGATGTTAGAAACGTGGCATTATTGTTATAACAGCAAGACATCGAAGAAAAAAAAACACACTGTCACAGTAGCGGAAACGGCGCGCCTGAAGAATAAAAAAATGGGCATGGAAGCGCAAAGAAATGGATCTGACCTCTTTCTTACCCTGCCTGACAGGCTGACATGGGAAAGGATCAAGCATAAATCCTTGTAGATCTCGTTTTGGAATGCAACCTGCCAGCCTCTTCCGTTAAATCATGAGTTGTCTGGCAATCTAGTAATCCAATTATGTATTGGTGAGACTTTTTAGTTCGATCCTTTTGACACGAAGCTCATAATGCAATTTGTTTAGATCCGACCCTTGACTTTCTCTCAGATCAGAATCATCAGATTAACGAATCATAAACACAGATGATTAAAACGCTGTGAATGCTGCTGGTTTTATGTACAGGGAAAACACTCCTGTTACACCGCATAATGGATGCTTCGTACGCGGGTCTTCCAGTGCATCAACCCTTTCGAATCTTCTATCAAGTAAGCTTTCAATAGGCCGGATGATGTATCTACTCAACGTATGTACTTCATCTAATCCTTTACAATCACCTGATGTTGTACATTGACGATTTGATACATAAAATATCTTCAAGTCAGCATGTGGAGGCGAGCGGTGTAAAATTCCTTCGGCGCCATTACCATCGTGTAGTTTGTCAATGGCTCGAAAAGAGCATTTTGGGGGGTATGTTGTCGGATAGCAAGGGGTTAAAATTCCCAACCCTCACAACATCGAAGCTAGAGCAGCCAGCCAGCTAGATATTCGATCGCTGGCAGCCACGCACGCGTACGGAGGAAAACTTTTTTTTGGAGATTCGAGACTTCCATTCCGCTCTCAATAAAACAACAGCTTATCGCCTGAACCTCGGTAAAGAAAAGTCAAAGTGCGGTATTGCATTGAGAATTTGGGCGGTATACTTCCAATACTGCGATGTAATTGCACAAGTCACGAGTCGTGAGTCGTGAGTCGTGTTGGAGAATTACATAGTTGCCATGAGATAAGATCGAGAATATACTTTAGCCTTTAGGTGTTAGTATGACTGCTTTCATTGGTGCAAGGTCCGAAGTTTATCGATACGAAGTTGGTTCAATGGCTTGGCTTTCTTAGAGGGTATCAGTCTGACGTTTGATCTTTTTGAATAAAATATTATGGGTTCATAGTGTAGAAACCTTGTGAGCTGCAGACTGCAGTAGCACTGAGATATATAGACAATATCATTGGCATTAGAAGAATTACCAACTGTCTGAAAATTGGAATTGATCCATTATGGCATGATGCCAAATACCAATGGTGATTCGTGACCGGGACGAATTCTGCATGGGTTAAAACGGATGGACGACCCAAATGAAGCAAAGAGCCGAAGTAGAAGCTAGGTTTAACTTTTATCCAAGCCTGTAGGCAGTTTGGGACCTATCCTGATTCCTGATTCCTGAGTCCTCGTACAGAGTAGTAAACATGGCCGCCTTGAATGATTGAGCACATCGATAATGCAGTGGTAGCGCCACGCAGAAAAGGATAGCTTTTCGCTGGAAATCACATCACAAGCCTCTCTTCATTGAGCACATAGCCGCTGTTGTGCTTGGCCGCGGGATGGCTGTTATTTTTATCAATGGCTCAGAGCAATCCGAACAATTCATGATGACGACGACGAAGACGATATTGGTAAGTAATCATATAGATCCCAATTTCGGAATGCTAGGTGACTAGGTAGTCAACAACAACATTGAGTCTTTGAGAGTTTGAATAGATGTGATACCAAGAAAAGTTTAACAGAAGATTGACCAGTGATAATCCGAATCGATAAGAGATCCCGAGATTTTTCACAAATGAATAAAAATAAAAAGATTGCATAGTACCTACCTGGTACCTAGCACATCCATGATATTATTCCGTACCGTACCGCCACACCGTTTGTGTGTTTCTTCTAGATGACGCAGCACGCAGTACAACATGCTTGAAATCCATGTCATATAATTCGGCAAGTGTGCCGGGACTTTTATGAAAAAGCAGCATGCAGAAACACTCTGTCGGCTGCTTGAGAACCCTGCTAATTAGGTATACAATAAAATAACAAAATCTTCTAGGAGAGAGAAAAAACAACGTTTGAGGTGGAAAAGAAAGGATCGTCAACTTCCATTTTCCAATTTGTTGTGATTGTTAGGAACCTATGGCCAACTTCTTGTTTTCACTGACCACGGTAACTCGGGAGTTCGGAATCTGTGCTCCTATTGGAGAGATCTTCTGGATATAAACTTTGCCCAAAAAAGAAATATGAGCATTAAAAGGAGTACTTTGTAATTTGTAGGGTGTCTGTATCCGGGAAAAGAGCTGTCACCAGCCGGACGTGCGGCTTTGGTTGAGTTTCATTGCCTCACGATCATACTTGGCCGCATAGCATTCGTGGACGAGTGTGCGAAGGCAGCGTGGCTGTTCTGAAAGTGATGAAATGCATCAGGGCCTGAGCTGGCGGTAGCGTGTGAGGTGATTGACAAAGTAGGACTTAGTAGGACAATGTTTTGAATGTGTTGTACACAGTACATGATACTGCATTTGGCTTGCTAGGTATTAAGTTGTTTGAGGTAGATGATATCACGGAGTAAACCGTTTCTTGTGTTATCAGATGGTGCGTTGGTGACATGTTGTTGAAGAGTGGTAGGTAGTATTGCGAGTTTGACGATGCGAAGAAACTTCGGGATTCACAAATGGATGGTTGGATGCGTCGAGGGATGCGTGCAAAAGAGGTTTGGGAAGGTTCAATCTTTATTTGTGGAAGCGATTTCGAAGCACCATCGAACTTCTCGCATCGATGCTGTCGAATCAATACTGTTTATTGCCTACATAGCTCACATACAAGTGGAAAGTATAACGGCCACCCATAGAAGAGATTATTAAACCAAAAGCATCGTGAACGGATGGCGAGCTGTGAGTAGAACCCAACCTTGCTCACATGCCGGCCGGTAGATGTAAGCCTCGTAAGTTTGTCGATTCGAGATGAATTAGGAATCAGGAGATAATGCCATTTTCATATATTCCATCGCCTACGCAGGAAATTCGGCAAAACTCTAAATGCACAGTAGAAGAATTGCTCTTGTTCTTTCGGAATTCGAGAAATCGAAAGGGTAAAACAAATTGATTGACAAGGGTACATTTTATTGTCTGGTAACTGCTAAACACCTAGCTAGGTATGGTTAGAAATCTATGCCTTTTCAAACATGACATAACCCCCTTTACAAGAGAGTTTGGTAAGCGTTCAATCGTCTTCTCATGGCTCAACCCAAGTCATGGTACATATACGGTAGATAGTCTTGTACAGTTACAGACAGCATTTAAGTCCGGGACCGAAAACATAGCGACTCAAGAGTGTTTCTTTCTCTGTCAATGAGATCCGGATGTCGATTTTGGGAAAGTAACTTTGAGAAGGAACCGTTTGTAGACTGCAGTACATACATACTTCGTACATACCTGCTACGTATTGACCTGAGTAAAAAGGATCTCGAGCTAGAAGGAATAGACAAATAGCCAGCGGCAATTATTTACGTTCTACTCTGGATCGAGTAGTAAAACCCCGACTCTTTACACAACAGAAGCTTATCATATGGGAAATATCGTGATAGATCGAGCAGCAGCATCTAGATACTCAGAGGTACATGAGGGTGAATACTGTACTGTAATGATAGATTGACAAGAGAGTAGATAGATACTGCGAGTGTGACATTAAAGCCAACATCTACCCACGCAACATATACGGTATCTTTTGCACTAGAAAGTATTGGTACTCGACGGCTAGGTAAATGAACATGACAAGAGTTTTGGAAGTAGACGTCTAAACTCTAAGCCGTACTTGTCTCTTGTGTCTGTCGCTACCTTGTCCTGTCTACTCGATCGTGCTTGCCATGTCAATGCTTTGTTAAGCTAATGCATTTTTTTCGCTCTCAACCATCATCCCATCATCCCATCCTCACCGTTATAAATCCAAACTATTCTATTTCAATCCATGAACGCGAAGGAATATTCATTTGGAAATCACTTTCTTTCATTCTATCACCGAAAGAGGAACATATCTTCCATAAAGCGGCATTATCTTATTGATTCAGGGAAGAAAATCCTTACTCAATCACCGCACTAAATACCGAACACTACCTAGTACTATTCAATTTTTCCCTTTTCCTTTTTTTTCCTCAAGAAGAGACAGAGAGAGAGAGAAAATTTCTTGTGACGCCCTCTCCACTCAAACAGACGTCCGTCGTTTTTCTTCTCCATCTTACTACCTTTCTTACCATCCATCTTTCAACCCACCAAACCTACTCAGTGTCCACTCTTATAACTTTTCCCATCCGGTTTGAAGATTGATCGAGGAAAGGTAAAAAGGCAACAAGCATACCTTCCTTCCCGCATCCCACCCCCTCAATCTCCAGTTTAATAGACGCCGTGCTACAGAGAGACAGCTTTCAAACTTCTTTGGCGGATTCTTATTTTTTTCTTCTGGTTCCTACAAAGCGTTGAAGGGACCCTGTTGATCGACCGCATCTTCATACTCGCAAAAAAAAAAAGTTCCCCACCACCGCGTTTATTTGCGCCCATCTTTGGACGGATAAAGTCTTCTTTGGATCCACTTATTGCTTCGAACACGAACAATTCAGAGTAAACATCTTGAGCCTCAAAGCAAGACTTCGTCGCGCCTCGTTCAAGCTACTCCCAAACTGTTATCCATTCTCCATAACGGCCTCGATATCATATTGGTTACGGCGCGCATCGTCTTTGACGCAGGGACCATTCAAACTTTCTACGGTTTAATCCCATTGACAAGACGCTGCAACACGTACATCCGTTGACGGAAAAAAAAAGAGAAAACTCGAAAACTTCACCTGTAAATATTTCGACGCGACAAAACCAATTGAGTCGCAGTTTATCATAGTTCAATCTCGAGAACTAGATATCAAGGTTCAGTCACACAGACGGTACAGCGAAAGGTTTTTTATGATTGAGTAATCGATCTTTCAGTCAAGAAAGTTCGAACTAAAAAGTCCATACTCGTAATGGACAACGCCCAATATCATTCAAACGCGATGAGCAACGGAAACTCTCCATATTCGCCGCTTCCTGGTATTTCACCGCACCAGTTGCAACATAATTCGAACTTGCCTCCTCACACTTTGCCGCCTCTTCAACCGCAGCAACACGCTGCCATGCAACAACAACAACAACAGCAGCAGCAGCAGCAGCAACAACAATCATGGAGCGCGCCTCATACTCCCCGCACTCCAGGCACTCCAAACACTCCAGGATCTGCTAGTTTAGGATATCAACAGGTTGGGGCACAATCAAGGCCCGCACAAATGATGTATGGAAATTCTTATCAGCAGCAACCCCCGCAACATCAATACCGTCCTTCGCCCTCGATGATGCCCCAATCGTCTGGTGCTTTATCACACAATCAGCCAATTGCTCCTGCTCCTGCAAATAGTCGAGGCCCCCCTCTGAGACCAATGCCGGCGAGCAATGTCCCACAACATCTGTCGATGCATTCGGCTTACTCTCAGCCCAATATGCTACAGCAAGTGCTTGCAGAAGAACCTCCTACCCATGTAGTGGGTTCGCAGGGTCGAAGAGGAATATTACCTAGTGCTCCGGGTCGCCCGCAGGTCACTGCTACTGGCCCTGGATCCACAAAAAACGCCATGATCCCCGCAAAGGATGCCGATGGAAAATTCCCTTGTCCTCATTGTACCAAGACGTACCTTCACGCCAAGCATCTTAAGCGTCATTTATTGAGACGTGAGTATCTCCCCAATATCATATCCGTCCATTGTTGAATGAATCTTTAACACCCCCTAGATACTGGAGATCGTCCGTACATGTGCGTACTTTGTCGTGATACCTTTTCTCGCAGTGATATTTTGAAACGGCATTTCCAAAAATGTTCAATTCGCCGGGGAAACCCTACAGGAGCAAGTCACTTGTCTCATGCACAAGCACACCTAAAGAAGTCACACCCAGGACCAAAGGCACATCAGACAATGGGCCCAGAATCTGATATTATGGGTATGAATGGCATGAATGGCATGCCAAACAATGGTATGCCAAATGATGGCTCAATGCACCCATTTGGTGTCGTTCCTGATGGAAGTATTGCCGATGCTAGCTCTAACCTAACAGATGATCAAGCTTCGAAAGCTTCGAATGACCTTCAGCGACTAGGCAACCCCGATAACAGAGACCGAAGAATTGGTGGACCCGCTGCAGGCGGTTCAAGTCGATCGAGTTTTGATCAAGGTTACGGAGGAGGGATGCCGAGTACTATGTCTTCCGCTATGAACCCTGCCATGGCATTCAGTATGCCAAATGGACAGAATGGTCATTCTTACAGTCAGAGCTACGATTTTGCTTCTCAAGGCAACACTGCTAACTTGCATGCGCAGTCGATGGAGGGAATGTCAACTGTTTCTAACGGGCGACCTCCGATGCCTGTCTATGCAGGAGCGAACGCCAGCCAACATTCGATACTCGAATGGCCTCACATGCAATCGAACGGTCAAAACAACTTCATGACTCCTTACAACAACTCGAACCTCTCGAACCTCGCGAACCAACAAATGCAAATAAAACAAGAACCATATAATTCGAATCTCGCGAACTCACAAATACAAATTAAACAAGAATCTTCTAACCACGGTTTCCTCACTGGTGTCTATCCTGGTGCTTCCGATATTCCTGGCTCTGATTTCTCCAATTGGAATATCCCAGCTCCAAATGACCCGCTCCAGCAAATCTCAAGCCAATTGCTAAATTTTTGCCTTACCACAAATCCACAATTCAATGCTCGCAGCCAAGAAATTCGGAAATTCCTCTCGGTCGACAATATTAAACACTTTCTTGAACAGTTTAGCAATTTCCAGGGTCATTTCCCCATCATCCACATGTCAACATTTCGTATCACCGATTCTTATGAAGGTCTTCTACTAGGTATGATCTGCATTGGTGCAGTTTACTCTGATCGTATGAGCCCAACCCAAGTCCGTGAGATGATGGAGATCGTAAAGATGGTTATAGAGTCCAATTCTCAAGTCTACTCAGTTATTTCTCGCGCGCCAAATGCTGAATATGCCAATGAACCAATCGGATCATCCAAATCTGAGATTGAACAGATCGCAGCAATTTTCTTGATGCAAGTGCTCTTTACATGGCATGGTACACCACTGCAACGCGAGAAAGCCCGACGTGACTTCCCTATGGTTGTTTCTTTGGCCAGAAGGGCGGGTCTTACTCAACCAATGACCACAAACTCTTTCAGCGTCTTGCACCAAGGTCATGTAAACGTCGACGCTTTTGTTGCCGCAAACTTCGATTGGAACGCGTGGGTTGAGCAGGAAAAGAGATCAAGGCTACTTTACATGATCTTTTTGTTGGATTCTGCTTTGGTCATATTCTTCAATATTGCTCCTTCATTCGATCCGCTGGAGATCCGCCTTCCTCTTCCCGCCGATGACGCTGCATGGGAAGCTCGCACTTCTGCAGAGTGCGCCGATGCTCTCGGGCTCAATGGTGCTGCGGTCTCGGCCCAAAAGAACCCTGAAGGTAGCCGTCGTCGCAAGCAACCAGAAATGCACACCGTGCTTAGAACCCTGATGCATCACACATATGAAATGCAGCCAGGAACCACGAACTTGTTCTCTAAATTCGTTTTGATTCATGCCCTTCATGTACAATTGTGGACTGCTCAAAAACAAATGTCGCAAGAATCTGGGCAAATCTCTGCATCCTTGAACAGTGGAGCAAATACACCATTAAGTCAAAACGATTGGGTAGTTAGGAGCGGGGATCAAGGCGGTAGTGGAGCACCCAGTGCAAACAACAGTGGCCGAGCAACTCCTGTTGACGGCCAATCTCCACATTCTCATCAACTTTTGAAAACTGTTACAACTGCCTTTGAAAAGTGGAAGAAAGCTTGGGACGAGGACATTAGTGTCCAATATCCACCAGGATCCTCTTACTCTCGCCGTTTCGGATTCTGTCGCGATGGTGCACATTTTTACTGGCTTCAGAAGTGTATGCTTTCTCAAAAACCCGATTGGCAGATGCCCTCGGATCAAAGATTCACACATGTGATTCAACTGTTGAAGTTTTCCAAGCGATGGGCCTCCACTGACACAGCAAAACGAGGAGAGGAACCCGGATCAGTCAGTGACATTGACAAGGACTTTGGGGTAGCGAACTTGACGCTGGACATGGCTCAATTGTTCAGGCCAGTAAACGCAAAGATCGATTCTCCGGTGCAGGGTGTACATACCAACATTTAAGAGCGAATTGACACGAATAATACGTTTGGGCGGGGCAACTTATAGATGGTTTTTATTGCATTGCATGGGCGTTGTTACATTTTCCTTGATTTACTCCGCTCCATTCAACAGCGTCGAGATTTACAGAGTACATTCGATTTCAAGAAAAGTTTGCGTGGTTTTATATATTAGCATTGCATTTGGCGGCGAAGGGATGTGTTGTGAACATAGGCCCAGCAATTTTTGTGTTGCGGGAGATTTGATTTCATTCGCATTTATTGTCCCTGTTCAGCAGGACAATATCACTTTTCATTCAGATTTCGGGAATGGGGAAATGAAAGAAAATTTTATAGACGGATACCAGCTTCTTTAAGCGCTGCATTAGATGGCCTTGCTTTTTTTTCAATTGGTACCTTGTTTATAGAGACGTTGTTATGATGGGTTGTTGGAGGAGGAGATGAGATGTCCTTTGACCGGGATGATGAAAAGCATATGAGACGATTTGGGTGGAAGAAAAGAGGATTGGCCTTCGCTCACGCAACAGACAAGGACAAAAAAATACATTATCACCACACCAAAATTAACACTTTGGTATTGCAATCTAATACAGCTTTAGCTTCTTGCTTGCTGGATGAGATAGTTGGCGGGACAGAAAAGGGGCGCGATTGATAGAAATGGCTGTATGTATTTTTATATGCACGACTTCTCTATTTCTTCACAGCTCAGCTTTTTCGGGGGTTGCGCTCGCTTGCTCTTTTCAGGTGTTTGTTTATTCTTTGCTACTTTTACATTGCGTCACAGCTTGAGGGGAAAATTAGGGTGGAATGCATGGGTATATTGGGATGGGTTAAGATAAAATGATTGATTGGTACCTCCTGATGAAACTCTTTCATTAGGAATAGAAGAAATTCGGGAGGTATTATATTATATACTAGATAGAATCAAAAAAAGCTTTAAAATTCATAAATTCTTATGTGCTCCTTTTACATCCTGATTGTGTTGTATTTTGTATATAAGAGATTAGGGAAGTGGTAAAGGATTGGCGTAAAAATATACGTGCTTCATGGTGTCTAGGAGGACATGGAATGAGTAAAGTAGCTAAAAGTAAAAATTGTAGGAAGCATTTGTGGAGATGGAATATGAAGGACGACGGTTTTGACTTGGAATGGGAAGATAGGAAATGTTCTTTCGTAGATAAAGGATATGATACACGGGTTGGAAAGTATGGAGCAGATGGAGAGGGTTTGGGTTTGTGTGCGGGGAGCGAGGGGAGGGCACGGAGAGGAGAGGAGATGAGATAAGATGTGGGTGGAGAGAGTAGTGAGATGGAATGGGGTGTAAGATGAAATTTCGAATTTGGAGGCGTAGTTGCTGCTTTTGCTTTTGCTTTTGATTTGAAGGAAGAGGTGTGATATCGGGATTTGCGTGCCAGGAGGTGGGTGGTGGGGAGTGGGAGTACTGTGTTTGCTATGTATACTAACTAGCGCACATTATAGATAGGGTGGATGTGGGATTGTGGGGTGAGAGAAGAGAAGAGGAGGGCGGAGAGAGGGAGGTATGATATCGCAGTTTCTTATGTGACAGACACATTTTCATTTTCATTTTCATATTGATGTTCATCTCTCACATATTGTGATTCTTGCTCCGAATTTTCATATCATATCGAAGTGTATACCGGTACCTATCTACTTGAGAGTTGAAGTCACAGGGCAGTACTGTATGATACCGCGCTGTGTACCAGTATGTAGTATCTTTATAATAATAATAATAATACCTGCCTATCCAATCGGGGATTCTGATTGTGAGTTGTGTTCAATACGTCTATTCAGATGTGGTCAAGAATTCACATTTCCGGGTAGATTCAGCAATATTAGACAATATTAGCGACTTAGTGAGCGAGGAGTTGAGCTGGGTTGCGTACCCAGATAGGAGGTATCTGACATGAAATATACGAAATCTAAATGGAAGAGAAACTTACGTATGGTAGAAAGAACCCTAGATAAGTGAATAATTTGGAGTGAACGTTCGCTCTTCGGACGACAGGGATTGAGTAAGGGAAGAACATAAACCTCTAAGGTTGCATCTGATGTTATAGAGAAGAAAGAATAAATGCTGAAGATGGGGGGGTTGCAAGATGTTCGATTACCAAGTGACTAAAAAAGTTGAGCTATCCACACAAACTTAGCGAAATGACTACAAGAGCATCAAATTTCCTTCACTCGCAGATAGATAGCATTGGAATCTCAAATAGTATGCAAAAAAAACAAATCTTCAATTAATTCGATATATCATGTATTTCAACACCAATATCTCGAAAGAAGCTGTCTGCAATAATAAACACTAACGAATCGCTCATCTATAAAAGCGCCGTTGAAGGCAATGATATCACAAGTCCGTCCAAGTACGTGCCCCATTCCATTAAAAAATATTGGCCGTTGCTTTTATAAACCCCCACCCATTCCCTTTCATTCCATATTAGAGATCGTTGAGATCCCTTTTTGAACGCCAAACTTGTTGAAGTTTGCCCATAAACACCAGCGCTAAATGCAATGTTAAATGCCATAAAACCATTGTGAACCCATCCTCATGCATGTTGAATCGTAAAATCGTGTTGAAAAAGTTTAAGTAAGTATAATCATGTTGAAAGTATTAATGGCCATTGGCCTCTCCGTTTGTCAGTGGGACGGTTTCGGGTTCGATAAATCGTACACCATCAACGTCACCATTCTGGGAAGTTTCGAAAGGTTCGTTGAGATTCTTTACAGTGAGCCCATCGAAAAGTGGGAAGAGCCCGTGTGACTTATGGAAGTCGTTGTGAACTTAATTTATGTCAGCTTCATTTGTAATCTCAAAAATAGAGATTGAGAATCAACTTACCAATATTGACAAGATACCATGAATCCATAATGGATTCAATGAGTCCACGACTAGGGCTAAGTGCAGAATGGCAATGAGCCCAGTCTGTTCCCAGACGAAATGCCTCATCTTTCCATGCCAAGAAACTAATAGTCTCGACAATAGTAGGTTGAACAATCTCCTTACCAGGAAATACTCCCCAAGTGACAGCATTTGGCCCATCACTTTGTGCGTTTGTTTGCACATCTCCAGTCTTCTTAACAGCATAGTAAGTCAGATCGGGTTCTTGTTGAATACGACGCACTAACTCTGGCATCATATCAGGAGCGACCAAAAGTTCCAAATAAGCTTTCTGGTAGACATAACCATTGGTAGGTCCCCAACCATAAACAGGATCAGATGACTTGACACCATCAACAGCAGGCTGAGAGTTGATGGTAAGAAATCCACGTCGATTGAGCTCGATCAAATCAGACTTAATGACATCTGCTTCGCTTGAGATTGGAGCTTCACTCCAAGGAAGACTTTCTATGCTATTTTCAAGATAACTAACGAAGAGTTCCGCGATATCTTTGATAGACTTAGGCTGACCCCAGAGCTTAATATTCTGTTCATTGCTGCCCTTCAACCCGATTCCATAAGCATCCAATTCACCGAAAGCAGGAGATCTCGAGTCTCCCCATCTACCGTTAGGAAATTCATCCCAGTCCTGGGTTCTAGCCACATAAGACTTGTTTCGGTTTTTCCAGAAAATTGGACGAACGTCTTCCTCTCTACGACCAAGGCCAAGAGATTGTCTCCATGGAAGTGCATGCTTCAGTGGACGTTGATTTGATGGAGTCAAACGAAGTTCGTCGAGCACCATACGAGTTGCCTGAGCTAAATTCATGGTGTAGAAGTGTAGATGATGCACTCCAGCTTGAAGAATTCGACGGCACATCTCAGCAACTAGATCTTTTCCGATGTTTCGCACAGCGGCATCATCATTCTTGACCTCTTCGAGAGCTGCACTCCACTTTGGTGGGATCTTGCACCCCATATGGTTACATCTTCGAAGGAAACTTGCGTATGTGTTAATGGGCATAATTCCTGGGATGACAGGAACATTGACACCTCTTGCTTTGACTTTTCCTAACCAATCGATGAAATTGTCGACATCGTAGAACATTTGTGTGACAATAAAAGTGGCACCCGCGTCAACTTTCTCCTTTAAATGATCTAACAACAGATCTTCATCGTCCTGATCATCGCAACCCTCGGGATATCCAGCAACTCCAATATCAAAATGATTGCCGTATGTTTGACGAATATGGTGAACAAGATCTTTCGCATATTGAAATCCTCCTTCAGTTGCCTCCCACTTTTCCTTTTCTCTTGGTGGATCTCCTCTAAGAGCAAGAATGTTCGTGCACCCAGCTTTGTAGGCATTTCTGAGAGCTTCATCGACCTTCTCCTTTCCCATGTCGGTACAAGTTAAATGCATGCAAGTCTCCAATCCATATTGCGATTGAGCCACTCCTACCATCTCACAGGTCAATTGAGCGAGACGGCCACCTGCACCCCAGGTAATATCAATGAAACTAGGCCCTAACCCATGCATGCGGTCCATACGATCGTAAAGATTTTGTACACCTTGAGCAGTTTTGGGTGGGAAAAATTCGAAAGAGAAAGAGGGGTTGCCCGACCTTTCGGCCTCCGAGAGCATGTCTTTGATGTGCATCTTGAAAGTTAAGGATCTGCAAATTGTGTTGTTGTCGAAGTGATATAGAAACTGAAAACAAATGATGTTAGCAATAATTCATTGAAGCTTCTGAGATATATGGGCGGTGAAGGCGGCGACAAACCGTGAGGTTGTCAAATTTGTATCGACCCCGCCACGCCTTCACCAATAGCAGAGTTAAAGCCCTGAATAACCCAATATGGATTGGCAGATTGAAAGCAAGAGCCAGTAGTGAAGTATGGTACCTTTTTGTTGCCTTTTTGTGAAGATATACCCTTTTCAAGTAGGCTAGACTAGATCCTCGAAATGATAATAAAGAATGAAGAGGACTAGATGGATACTAGCCAAAATACCTTTTACGAGCCCAACGATCTGCTACGTCTCGCAGCATGTACTTGGATTGTTTTGTATTGATGATTGTACTACGGAGGTTTGCTGCAAACAAATTGGTGGTGAAGTGATGTACTGATAGATGTACAAAGCTAAAAGAGGGAGGTGGTAGAAAAGGTTCCAGAGAATTATATAGATATAGATGTCAATCGAGACAAAATTTGGACCAATGATTATGTATCAACTCCACAATTCGTAGTTCCTTCCAATGATGGTAGTGGGTGCAATGAACAATAGAACAATGAATTCTCAATTCTGAAGGCAATTGCAATGAAGCTGCGAGCACGCAAGCAGAATGATAAGAGAGAGACATATATCATATCTTATCAACACCTATTACCTAAGTCCCTTTTTAACTATTCTTCGGACCTTGGAAGCTTTGTCTCACTGTTTGAAGTATGTTTGTTTTCACAGTACCACCATTTAATTTCGCGGAGGTTAATGTTCCCTACAAAATTTGTCACAAAAACTTTCGGGTGCCGAGAAAATTGCCCCTCCTACGGCACGGCACAACGTCACATTTGTCCATAACATTCCGACTGTATGGAGACGAATATCTTACCCCAGTGTGTAGGTATATATGGACTCCGTGCAATCAAGATTCGAAAAGGGCATTCCCATCTAACGTTGTTGTTGTTGTTGTTGTTGTTATTGTTATTATTGTCATTGTGTTGCATTTTGTAGCTTGAAGTATCTCTTGCTTTATCTCTACATGCAAATCGTCACAAAGGATTCGCTTCCCGTATCTTAACAACACCGCTAATAAACATGAAAGTATTAACCGACGCCAGCACTCCATATTTGCATCCCTGGATATCATCACAACATGCCATGCCAAATTCTAGACCGACAAGAATGCCAACTAAACGAAAACACTATTGTTGTCCCGCGCCATCTTCATCAGTTCGCAGGCCATTAAATTGAGTGCCTTGATTGGCAGTGCTCAATCTTGCACATAATCCCAGTAACACCACAGTTTCCGTGGCAGCATAATGGTTAAGAGCATCTAACAAAATTTGCAAATGCTTGCTAAAGTTGAACTCATACTTTCTGATGATCTCATACATCTTTTCGAGTCGAGCTTCATCAAAACCTCCTTCAAAAGATGGATTCCCGTTGTTAGGTTCTCCATTTCTAGTACCCCGATCACGCTGGTAGCGAGCCCATTGCTGTGAGTTCATGGTACTAGGTCTTTCTGTACCCAGTAAATCCGTGTCGATCTTCTCCAATTCTCTTGAGAGCCATGAAGTGAATGTTGCGAACATGGTGCAGGTTGACATAAGTTTAGAGTGGATCTATGAAGCATTAGTAGAGCTCAAAGTAGCAATTATTATAGATAAACATACCCTCAAAAGTCTACTATTCGTAAGCATACACTCCTTCATACAAGTATCAAGGAAGTCGACATGATCTTGCATGAGTTCATCGACTGTTCTGACGGCCGGTGTTTTCCCTAGTTTGTCATCTTCTTTTGCATTGAGTCTAGCCATCAAACCCTGCCAGTTTGGTTCAATAACTTCAGATGTACAAAAGTAGAGAAGTTGCTGCACAAACACCAGCATTCGTGCTCGCAACGTAAACACTCTTCGCTTCCACAATTCAAGGTTTCGATTTGAGCTTTTGTGAGACCAAGTAGCGGCCCGGTTGTGGGTTTGCCAACAGGTGACAAGTTGTTGCTCGAGATAACGCAAAGACAACAAGTATCGAAAGAGCGCTTGATATCTCCAGACTGTCTTCCTACTGATGACAAGAGATACTGGAAATGGGACAGAATAATCGAGTTGAAGAGAAGTAAACCCTACAGCCGCCTTATCGTTCTCAGTGACTGGTTGAGCAGGAGTTTGTAGTGATTCGCCCTGTTCAATACCCGATATGTTGACTACTCTGGTCAACATATTTGTTAAGCTGATATCATTCATCTCAACTTTGATGTCTTCCTTGAAGGGATCCTGGGCAGCGACACTTCCAGGTTGTCGAAGAACAAGATCCAGTAATGACTGAAGCTTACTAGTATTAACAGCTTTAAGGGGTTTTCGTAACTCAGAATTACCGAGCTCGAGGAAATAAGAGAAGAAGTCCGAGCGATCCAAAAAGAAATAGTGCTTTAAGGACCTTAAGCGTGCAGGTAAGGAATGAGCAGTTAGAAGCAAATTGAGTAAAGACTCATTGGCATGCGCGTAGGCACTATTGACATTTTCCAGAAACCGATTGTCATCAAAAGATCGAGGGACGTCTTTCACCTCTTTGCTCACATCTACACCCCCACATTCACGGACGACATTCAAATATTTACCGGCCAAGAGGACTTTATCTTTCACACCTTCCAATTGAGGAGGTACATCAGTATCCCTAATAGTGTATCGTCTCTCCCAGTACTCGTCGGTGTAATCTTCCTCCAACCTCTCCCTCTTTATACTTTTCTGTTCTCTCACTAGAAACTCTGCATGTGGGTCTTTGATACTTCCGTGATGCAACCACTCGTTGAGCATCACCATATAAGGTCGACTAGCATCTCTCAACAGTGAAGTTAGGAGAGATCGAGCGGCCGGATCGCCAGACATTGTCTCCAGTCGCTTTGTGATGAGACCCAATACGCTTCCACCTTTGCAAATCTTTTTACCTGGAATATTCCCAAGCCCAAGATCTCCACCCTCCCGGAGACTTTCTAAGATATTTTCGAAATCATCCATTCCATCCCCATCTTCCTCATCTTCCTCAAGCATGGAATTTCTCTTCAATATTTCATGGGCAAGCGAAGATAACTGAAGCATCATGTGGCTCGTAGGAAGAGTATGGAGGTTTAGAACGTGTAAAGTAAATGATGGATTGGTAAGAAATTGCGTCTCGAGCTGAGCAATCAAAATGAGGTAATCTTGTAGAAGCTTCCTCATGGCAGCACATAATGCATGATTGACAGCTCCAAACTCTTCTCGGCTTTGTACTTCAACAAAAGCTTCAGTTGCTCCGTAATTCGTAGCCATCTTGAGCATAGTCGTGGTTAGGTCCTGTAAACTAGGGTCCAAGCCTGGTAAAATCCTAAAGCTGGGACCCGCAAGACGATCCTTCTCAATGAGGGGATCATAGCCCTTCCCAAATCTAATATATTGCCCTTCATAACCCATGAACACAAATAGAAGATCCTCCAATATAGCTGCCTCTTGTACTTCCAGGGACAATTCGTGGAGGGCCTGTGGCTGTAAGGCTTGGGGAGCTTGGGAAGCAAGTGGTGGAATGGAAATTCTGGACGCTAATGGCGCAGTTGTATGCGGCACCAAGGATACATGGGGATCCCATGGTAATACTAAACCCGTAATATTTAGAATAACTGCATATTTTCCTCTTCAGAAGGTATCTTACCAGGTTGAGTTTCGGCTTTTGATGCTTTTAGCGGAATCTCCTCCCCGCGCGATCTGGATGTATCATTGGTTCTAGGACGTTCCGTAGGTGCGCGACGATCAGGACTTCTTGTTCTAGACGTTACTGTCTCTCTACTTGAGATATGCACCCGTTCAGTCCTCCTCTCCTCTACCCCTCTATTACTCCGTTGTGAGCTCGATTGAGCTCTTCGATGATTCGATTCAGTAGCTCCTGGTGGCGGTGAGGGACGTCGACGTGCATCTGGTCTCTCATTCCTTGTGCCAGCCAGTGCGGATGGCGGGCGTGATCTAGGATTATCATTCGACCTTCGCTCAGATTGTGAAGAAACTCTAGCTTGCGAAGACATAATTATCACATCTGGGGTTGTAAATTATGAGCACGATGAAGTCGAGAAGATCTTAGATTGAGAATGGTAACTAATGGTATGCGACAGTAAACCGTATATCTCCATTGCCGTGACTATTAATTTATTTTCTATAAGTCCTATCTTCCCCTCTTCACGCGTTTGGATACAATAAACTTCCTTGAGAGACGAGTAGATTGCGCTAAGCCTATTTTACCCTAGTTATTTTGCTACCAAAGCCTCAGGAACGGGCCATTTGATAGCTTCGCATGCCTGTGCTTGCCTAAAGTAGCTCCTAAATCTGATCGCTACCAACCTCTGCAACAAGCTGTTCGTTCATAACGTCAACGTCCTGAAATTATCTCTCCGCGAATACCCTCAAGTTACTTATTTTCACTCGATCAGCGCATTTTATTAAAACCTCATCTCTTCGCCAACAAGCACTTACCTTCTCTTACTTTTGCCAGCGGCTGTTTCTCAAGATGTTTATTGCAAGATCTGAATATGGTGAGTTATTTGAAGGCTTTCTGCGGCGCCTATGCCTTCGTTGTATCAACTAACAAATTCGCAGATCGGGGTATCAAGTATGTCAAAGTCTCAGCTACAACAATCATCCCGAATCTCAGTTCAATATTAATATAATCCCAGCACCTTTTCCCCAGAAGGTCGTTTGTTCCAAGTAGAATACTCTCTAGAGGCCATCAAGTTAGGATCAACAGCAATAGGAGTTGCAACCGGTGGCGGAGTAGTTCTTGGTGTCGAAAAGCGCGTAACCTCTACTTTACTCGAAACCTCCTCCGTTGAGAAGATTGTCGAAATCGATCGTCACATTGGATGTGCCATGTCAGGACTTCAAGCAGATGCACGATCAATGGTAGAACACGCCCGAGTCGAATCTCAAAACCACAGCTTCCACTATAACGAGCCTCTAAGAGTCGAGAGCTGTACTCAAGCCATCTGTGATTTGGCATTGAGATTTGGTGAGGGTGCAGATGGAGAAGAGAGTATCATGAGTAGACCATTTGGTGTTGCTCTTTTGATTGCTGGATACGATGAGGATGGACCACAATTATACCACGCTGAGCCAAGTGGAACCTTTTATAGATATGATGCAAAGGCTATTGGTTCAGGTTCAGAGGGAGCTCAAGCCGAATTACAAAACGAGTTTCACAAGGTACAACAAAATACATGATCACTTGTAGATGATTTTTCGCTTACCTAAACTTTAGTCACTTACAATTGAAGAGGCAGAAACTTTGGTGTTGAAGACGTTGAAGCAGGTCATGGAGGAGAAATTAGATTCGAAGAATGTGCAATTGGCTAGTGTTACCAAGGAGAAGGGTTTCCGAATTTACACTGATGAGGAGATGGCAGCTGTTGTTGAACGCTTACCTGCGAATTAAGATTTCGAATAACGAGAAAAGTCTGGATTCAATCTAGCATGGACTAGTCAATTTTAGACATCTTAATTGACATGAATGAATGACATTAATGCATATGGAAGTCTTACTTATGGAAGATTGCTTGACTTTACATTCTGCTTATAGTACCGGTGTCCCAAAAATTACGAACCTTCAGAGCTGCAATACGCCTGGAATGTCCTGGGAATTCCGCCTACCAGTGTACGGGAATCAAATGGACGAAATAATGACAAATCCTAACCTCGGAACTCCTCGATTTTATATTCAAGTTATCTCTTAGTAGGGTCAGTTCCTAATGATATTCTTAAATATTACTATCCAAATCTGTGGACCAAAGGGTCTCCGGGTTCAGATGCTTAAGATTTCGAAGATGACTATATGCTTGACAGTATTGTTCTTGCTGTTATAAAGCTTGGGGAATTTTTGAGCTCAGTGAACTGAATTCTACGGTACAGCGATTTGGAAGGCCCTTCACAACGACGGTGGATAAACCTCCTGAGATTACCTTCCAGAACACTCGAATCTCCTTCGCTTGTAGAACATTTGTAGAGTCCCTTGGTGCATCATTTATCGCTTGCGTTCAAAGATCAGCTATCTTCAGAGCATCGCTTCTCAAGTATGCAAGTACCAGGTATACAGAATGATCAAAGAGAATAAGATATTTCCCGTTTTCATCTATGACTACTCATCACCATCTCTAAACGCACTTCACAGTTCAGATCCTGATCCCAGGGTCCTCCCAACTAATTCTGCAGCCTTCTCCGCAACCGCATTAACAGTTGTCTGACGAACACCTCTCGTACCGAGACAGAGGGAAAATACTCGCATCCACAATCTTCGAATTTTTCGCGCGGTATACTATGTATTTTTCACTCTCAACTCCTCTTTTCTCCAGGGGTATCATCGCACATGTGCTGTTGGGTGCCGTGCACTCAGTGCTGCTTTCTTCACGTATGTCTTGCCAGCATCGAGATCCGCAAATCAGAAGGCACACCGAGATTTCTCTTTCCGGAAGGCTTGAGAATTGTGGAAAGAGGAGGGAGGAAATAATCTTGGAAATATAGCGAACGTGCCGAGAGAGAATCTCGAGATCGAGATCGAGATCGAGAGAACGAGAAAGATATTTGGGATCCATTTGTGCGGAATCTCGGCATTGGAGCGGGAGCGGGTGATGTGTGTATTTCCGCGGAAGAGCGGACGCAGTAACATACAAGCGCTGGCGCGATATTTTCCAGGCAAATTAGCACCATCCTTAGTATCGAAATTTGCGCTTGCAGTTTGCTTGTCGATGATATCTTCAAACGGGTCTCCGGGATGAGATTCCCAGCGTGGCGTGGGAGAAATATTCACCGGGGGTTTCGGTTGGGGTTTGGAGAAGAGAAGAGAAGAAAATGTATGAATTCTGTATGGGGGGTTGAGAAAAAAAGTTTCTTATGCTTATCTCTCGTTTCATATCTGTCTCTTCAATAACATTTCCAGAGCATCTCTGCTCTCCTAAGAAACTCTACATCTGGTAGGATTCCCCCGTGAAATTTCCTCTGGTTGTAAATGGTCTGCTGTTCTCTGTCGTATGCTCCCATTTGCCTCCACAATCGTAGTACTATTCTGTCGTGCCGACGCATTCATTGTTTTTACACCCTCTTCCATTTCAAACGAAAATCCCAATTGAGATGGTTGGTTTATTCGATAGATAGATAGATGCCTAGATACCTAGATATATAAAATTCTCCGCTCCGCTCCGATTATTAAGAATCTAATCGTAGTGTAACCTATGATTTGAATTTAATTGTGTGGGGTTGGTCTATTATACATACATCTATCTATCTCATTTAATGAAGGAGAAGAGAGACCAACAGTCATTCTACCTGCAACTTCGTGAATCGAATCTATAAATACAATATCCACAGAATTCTCAACCTCTTTCTTAAAAAGGAAGACCGCCTTCCTCGGCCGAGATATTCATATCCACCGCTCCCCAATCCATGGCCGACCAATCCAACGTACTGATATCCGCATCAATCAGCCCCATTCCGGGGGTATCTATATATGTCCCCATGCCAGATGATGCCGGTCCCGATGCAGAATATCCCAAATCCTCACCCAGCCCATAGAAAGCCATAGACGGCACTCTTGAAAAATCATCCCCCTCCCCATCCCCCTCCCCACCTTTCTTCTGCGCCCCTGCCTCCCCTGCCTCTCCCATCCCCGCCAATTCCGCCATCCTCTGCCTCACACTCCCCACAATCCTCGGTTCCGCAATCTCCTCCCCCATACTCCGAAAAGCCAGCTCCCTCACCTCCCAAGCCTGCAGAATGATTTTCGCAAAAATCAGGAAAAAGGGTCCGGGTATCTCATCATACAGAGTAGAATTAAATCTCGCTTCGTAGTTCGCCGTCATTGCTTCCCAAGCGCGTTCTGCTTGTTGACTCAGCGGTCTGCGTTTGAAATTCTGCACGATTTGGAAGTATGCAGGGAAGGGAAAATGCATGTTGGACATCCACATGAAGCCTTTCGCCAGGGGGGACGTCATGAGTTTCGTATCGCATTCGAGCATATTGAGGGCATGGGCGATAGTAGCATCGCGCACCAAACCCACTTTTGAAGAGTGGTTCTTGCCAGAGAAGTGCCAATGTTCGACTAAATGCCATTTGGCAAGACTCATTCGTGTAGTCCAGATAGTGATGAAGTGGAGTGGGTTTTTCGGATCACAGAATCTGAGATATTTTTCCTCGACCATCTTTTCTAGATCGGCGAGTTCGCTGCCTTCTGTAGTAGGGTTATGCTGAGGATGTTTGGCTGCAGATTTTAGAGCAGGATTACTAAAATCAAGATGAAATGTGGTATTTCGAATAAAGTTCCCCATTTCGCCGCGTAAAACAACAAAAATCGCCTCAGTTGGTTTCTGCTGACTTTGTGGGGGATTCTTCATCTTTACATGAAAATCCGAATCGCTCGCATTAAGGGGGACTTTACAACTCCAAGTAGGAGTCAAGATGACGTGCTTGGAATCAGCGATCTCCCCGATACGAGTATCGTAAAGTACAAGTGACCACCAAAGTCTTCGGCGCATCTCAGCCTCTAGGGGATTGAGTTTAGATAAGGCGAATTCGTTATGACAATCCATACGTTGCGCTATTCGAACAGCAATTGCCAGCAAGGAAGACAGAGATTGAGGGACTGATTTGGTTCTGAAAGACATCTGAAACGGTTAGAAAATATATATGTTGTGGCCCACTACACTTACCAGGTAGAAAAATAAAGCAGTCAAGGTGTCTCGATCATCTCTGTTCCGTAGGAAACCGCTATTTAATAAACCCTGCTGACACCCAAACTGATATCTTGTCAAGAGGTCTGGTTTTGATGCGTAAAACATAAGCTGGCAATCTTCGTACGAGAGACTCGAAATTGCCACACAATAAATGCCAAACATTAAGGCTTCTAGCTGAGGTTTAATATTCCGGAGATTACCAGCAGCTTCTATGATCTGTGCCTGGAGACTGGGAGTATGCGTAACCTTGAGTAATGGATCAACATTTTCCAGGTAGATTTGCCAAAGTCTGAATATTTGAACTGGCTCAGGAT